ATCTATGACTGTTCCGGTACATCGTCTGTTCTCCTTGGGCCTGGACCTCAAGAAAAACAGGACCTCCCCCAAAATTGGTCAAACATTGTCCCTGAAGTGCCCTTGTGTGAGCCGTTTTGGGTACCAATGGAGTACCCTTGGAGGGTGCTGGTATACTCCGTCTCCTTGAATGAGAAACTACTTTCTTGTACTGACCTGAAAGGAAACGAAAAGGTCAAAGACCTCGTCTCCAAACGGTTTCCCTTGCAGCTGGGTCCGCCTAGTTCACAATTCCAGCTGAACTAAAGGATCTTCCTCAGCGATCTCGCTGGCTCGTTCCCCAGAACATCGGTGAGCTCGAAATAAAATAGGCAGACCCAATTTGGACTGCTCAGTGCGAGATGAGAAGTGGACTGAACCCAGGCTGTGGTCCGCTAGGAAGCCACCGGTTGGATGGCGAAATCTTGGGGTCAGAAACCAAATTGATCAGTCTGCTGGGATGACCAGGGAAAACAAACACCAAAAAAAAGAAACAAAAAACGACTTTCACCACTCAACCGGAAAAGACCAGCAACCAAAACACCCAAAAACAAAAACACCGAACTAGCCATGGTCACAAAACTGGAACCCGCAGGAAAGATTGATCCACATCCTGCAGGCGAGCCACTTCGAAGGCGCGTGCCAGTTTGCCACAGAGGAGGGCTCCTGCAGCTGAAGCGAGCTCACCTGAGGCCGGCTCTCAGCCCCCGGAAGTTGCCGGGGAACCCATGTCTAGGTCATTTGAGAGGTTAGGGCTTAGGGTACCCGACTTTTTTCTGTAGTCTATTTTAGTAGGGGAACCCTCCCTCCAAAAAGGTTACAGGCTGTTAAAAAAACCTGGGGGCGAAAGCTGGGTCACACGTGTTTTCCCCTGGCTTTTCTGCAATTTGTCATCTCTGGCTCACGCTTGGCAGTGAACGGGAGAATTAGGACAGCGTTGGCTTCATGCATAAATGGTCAAGAACCCAATGTTTTTTGCGTAGTTGCAGTTCAATTGCTCGAAAATCTGAACCAACAAGCTGCAGCCGACGGTCACGGCTGAAATCCTTCCCAATCGGAAGCCGATGCTCCAAACAAGCTGTGCGTATGGCGAAACACATTAGAGTGAAGCTGCGTTGTTGTATAGACTTGCAATGATTGCCACCCTCTGTCCATACATTGAGCCCCCACTATGCTGCAAATGGGTCGTTTGCGTGCTCTCGTCACAGAGACTCTTCTAGCAAGCTCATGTTTGCTGGGTTGGACATTGGTGGCTCTCCAGACGCTTTCTGCCAGCATCTGCAACCAACATTGGCGATGCATCAACCTGTGTGCACTGGCATGTGTGTTCGTGTGCGCTCAAGCCTTTCGTAACGACGGTAACATCCTCCGCCCCCCCACCCCACCCCCACCCCCCCACCCACCCCCATCCCCCTCTCACAACTGCAACTCGACATATCATAGCCGAAAAACAAAAAGCACTAAAAGTACCAGGATTTTTACCAGCCTGTTTCCTCCAAAAAAGGGTGAGAAAGGGCACTACTGGGGGGCCTTGGTGTGGTTTCCTTCTTGTTTTGGTGATTGGCTCCTCATCCGTTTCGGTCTGCCAATCGTCTGGATTCCTTGGGTTTCCCGCATGCAAAAAATGAGGTACACTCATCTTACCATGGTTTTCCGTGGCGACGGTTTGTAACCCCCTCTGGTCTGCTAAGATATTCGCAAAACGAAGGCCCCGCAAGCAAGCCTGAGCACCTCGATCATCTTCATAGGTCCAAGTCCATACAATCAGCTGATGAAAGAAGGATTCTTACCACCAGGTCAAATGACCAACTTGGATACTAAGTACATACCATCTTTTCGGTGACTTGCTTTGTGGTGTGGAGGTTCTGGAATCCTTGCCCACATAAACCTGGTTTCAAGTCAAACCCTCCGCCCATCACATCCAGTTAGCACAAAGATATTTTCTGAGCCTCGTGCATTGAGCTCCGCATGGCTTCTTGGCTGCATCAACCTAGCGGAATTCGCGAGAGATGAACATGAACTGTCATTTGCTTGAGCACCCTGGGAAGAAATTAAATATTTCCAGTAGTGATCGATTCGTTTTAAAACCAAAAGGGGAAAATAAAAACATAGTCTTAAACAAATGGAAGATGAACCGCACTGGACACAGGCTTCGAAGTCTTCCGCTCTTGTAAACCCGGGGATCCAGGAAAACCCCGGGCAAGTTGGCAAAGTCACACCTCCCATGTCTGACCGTGCGAACATTTTCCCTGGAGTTCAAACCACCACTAAAACAATGGGGGTTCATATAACAACCATGATTTACCTAAGGATGCTCATCATCCAAATTGAGTTAAACATTCTTTTCATGGGGGATGAACCTCAGGGTCTAGGCAGATCCGTCCAACACGCAACCTACTTCTGGCCACTGGCTTGGAACAGGTCAGACTCTCATCTTGCGAGGTTCCCCTGAAGCAAGAAACCCCCTCCAACAAGGAAACCATCATATGGGCGTGGCTCAAAATCGGGGTCCAAAATGGAACGCTAACGTAGACTAAAACCTGTGTAGTCCCAGCTGCGTAATGTTGAGCCACACCCATACCTCAACTTCTTCGGTTCCTGCCCATGCCCTCTCTGCCGGGCTGCGATTCCACCGGCCGTCCCGCGACAGCCTTCGGGGCGCTCTGGAAGGGGTCGGCCGGGTTCAGGGGGCTCCAAGCCGTCGCTTGCGCCGCGAAGGCCGGCGCTTGCACGAAGCCCGGCGGCGCGAAGCCCGGCGGCGCGAAGCCCGGCGGCGCGAAGGCCGGCGGCGCGAAGGCCGGCGGCGATTGCGCTGCCGGCGGCGATTGCGCCGGGGGCGCAAAGTGCTCCTGCGAAGCTTAGAGGCAGCTGCAAAAGTCAGAGGCTTAGGCGGGTTCGGCTGGGCAATGGAGGAGTTGAAAGGGGCGAAGTTGCCCCCTCCCAAAGCTTTTGCTGCTTTTCAATGCACTCCCGAACTGGTTTCTTTGCGTCAGCCTCCGATTTGTGACAGGATTGGATCGAAAAGGGTGGTTTCAAATTGGCGCTTTGCGGGGTATCTGGGTTCTCTGCAGAGTCCAATGGTCTCAAAAACTCTGAAAGCCGCTCTGCCCTATGCCACACGCCAATCGAACAAATTTACCGGAAACGAAACAGCATGAATCCATGTAAACCAGACCTGGTTACCTGATTTCTTCACGGCCACTGGCACTCACACTGGTTGCGAACCATTTGTCGAATGGGAATGCGCCCAAACAAAATGTGGGGAAGGGCCTGTGGGTGTCTTGTGTTTAACTGCCCACCATCCAGCGAGAGACCGCTTGGCGCTCCCCGCGTGCGGTCGAATGGGAATTCAGAAGTGTCAAAACCCGCTTAGTGATTCGGGGAGGGCCCTCTGTCAGCAGGAAATATGCTCTTTCCGTAGAACCACACAACATCTGAACCTGTTGTTGCCTTAAAACAAATGAATTGACGCAGTGTTTGCGACAACATGGGTAGGGAAAGGGGAGGGCTTTTGAAGAATGGTAGACGTGCTGAGTGAGAGAGACACAGTCGATGTTTGTCCAAAATGCGCAATCAGGCGCAATCCTCTACTCTCGGCGAGACCCTTCCTGTTGTCTTCCGGGAGTATTGTATTGCAGGGGTATCCTGCAAGGATGAGTCCCCAGCGGTCCCCTCTGGTCCCGCCCCCAAAATTGTCCATCAACAAAGCCCGTCCTTGGTGCCAAAGTCTAGCCCCGTGTCGCTCCTTGGCTTTCTCAGATAAGGAGGGAGCTCAAAACTGCACGCAGAACAGCCAGGGCAACCTCATGATTCCATCAGATGTCAGTTTTGCAGGTCCAAAGCGGAACCCAATCAAAAAGAATGCAAATCCTCTTTGATAAACTGCAAATCATGGTTAATGAACTTTTTGGAAGGAAGCTGTGCTTATATATATATACTGTTCGTGTGCTTGTTTGTTTGTTTGTTTGCTTGCTTGCTTGCTTGCTTGTTTGTTTGTTTGTTTGTTTGTTTGTTTGTTTGTTTGTTTTGTTTTGTTTTGTTTTAATGAAATGCACATGTCTTCCTCATTACGCAATTGTTTACTCATTCATATATTTGTAGGATTATTCAAGCTATTTCTGCACTATATATCACTATATATATATATATACACTACTACATCGTATCCTGACTGTGCTCATCGTTCTTCTGTTCCTACGCTTATCAAGCTTACCCAAAGCATCCTCAACTGCCCCCTCTCAGCTGCGCGTCACCAGGTCAAAGGGATCGTCGTCCGCCATGGCTGTGAGCTGACGAGATCAATTCACTTCGCGAGTCCAAGGGCACTTTGACAAGGCCTGAAAAGACTGGGCTGCCCGTTTTCTGATCCCCCGCTAAAAGCTTGACTAACATTTAGTGGGTTAAATGGAGACTACCACACGCAAAAAGGCGAAAAAGCGAAGGAACCGGATGGGAGCCACCCAGAAGTGGAAGCCCTTGATTCGTTGAGTTAATCTCCAAAGAGTGGACAACGAAGACACCTGCCGGGTCCATCTGCGCCTCACAATCCTTGAGAATTGGCTTGCAATACTTGACGTGGCTGCCTAGAAGTCGCTGGGACGGTGGGATCAAAAGAAAGACAAGTGCTGTGCCCAATTGCGGGAGGTGTATTGAGTCTTGGGTCCGGAACCCCATAAGCTTCGGCCGCGCGCGAGGACCACGATCACTTTGAAGTCGTGTCAGTATCTACAACAATTTAGGTGCTTCCTATCTGGAATGCCCCTTGATGGTTTTTCAAAGACAGGCAAATCTTCTACATCAGACAATCTTCCCCAAGTTTTGGTTGAAACCGCCCAAAGGAATCTTCCGGGTTCCCGAGGACTCGCATACCAAGCAAGTGACTGTCATCTGATCTCACAACTTTTGCCAGCTACGTCTGCAAGTGCTTTGCACGTCGGATCCCCAGCAAGGGACCCATTTCATGAGCTTTCGCTCGCTCCGACCTCCAGGTGATGCAACGTCTCGGAGTCAACCACCTGCCTCGGAACGGCCATGGTGCGCGAAGTCCAACTACTAGGTCCTCCAGCAAAGAGATTAAAATAAAATTACCCATGTTTTCTGTAGTCTATTTTAGTAGGGGAACCCTCCCAACCAAAAAGGGGTGAGATGGCGGTTTGCTGCCGAAGGAAACTTTATCTGGCAGCAACCACTTTCCGAATTCGGCCGCATTCGGCGCCGAAGTTCATGCCCAGCGAAAAAAGAGCAGGATGAGGCACTTGGGCCGCAGCTTGAAGAGCTCATCATGGTTGGAGATGTTGCACAAGCCCCCAGACCTCGAGCGAATCCTCTGAAATTCTCTCCCCGGCGGGTTCCAACGAGTCCTTGCTACTTTCGAACGAAGCAGGCGAGCGCAAAAGCTGACGTTGTTTCTAGTAACACAGCTAGGACTGATGCAACTAAGCCTCCCGTACCTTGAGAGGCCATTGGCTTGGGCGCTGGAGTTTTGATCCACGGGACTGGCCCAAACAAAAACGGGAAAGCGGAGGGGGGGGGGGCGGGCGCAGGGAACCGGACTCCATTCCGAGAAAGCACCTGCTGGTTCTCAGTCGCAGGGATCCGGATGCATTATACACCTGAACGTTGCAACTTGTAAAAAATGGTGGTTTCCAACTTTATTTCAGTGTTGAAAAAGGCAACTGTGTCAAATGGTGGCAAAACGGAGATCTTTTAAGGAGCCCTGAGTACGAAAGCACCTTCGGGGTCCAGTTCGAGTGAACCTCTTGTTGAACCGAAACCTTCAACTTGCTTCTGTAGGGAATGACAACGAGTCCGGGTGTTGGGAATGAACCGTTGGGGGATTCGCTGAGAGTATCCAAGGCACACATTCTGCCAGTTCCCGAACTCACAAAGAAAGAGATTTGGAGGGTGGACTCCACTGAACAACTGAGACATGGGTGTCGTTTGAGCCAGCTACTCTCTTGGGCTTGTGAAGGGCAAACTGAAGGACGCCAAATGTAAGGCGTTGAATATGTACAATTTGGTTGTGGCAGACTTTATTACCAAACTAAGCCATGATCAGAAGAGAGTCAGATGTGTAGTCGTCAGTTCATCCTTAATATAGAATATGCCAAGTCTAAACCAATTCTAAACCAGTACTTTTCTACCTCTTTTTCCACACTGGGACCAAACAAAATCAACTACTCAACTTGAGCGACTCCGAAGCATGTCGCTGATTCCTGCTGTCCCCATTCCTTCGGACTAAGTTGGCCGTGTCTTTTTTGGAGGACCGAATCTTTTTAGGGTTTCAATCGGAAACCAAACAAAAAGGAAAGGATCACCTTCTTGAATTGGGTCGTTTTTTTGGTGGCTTTCAAGGAACACCAATCAAGAGGAAACAAGCGGCATTTTGGGGGGTCCAACCCCAAAAACCACTCTGTTTTGGGAAGGCGCCCTGTTTTTTCGGGGGCTTTCAAAAGGGACGCCCCCCCAAAAAAAATGGACGCACCGGACGCGCAAACCGCCCCAAAACCGGGCGCTTCCATGGAGCCCCGGGCTTGAAGAAGTCCAGCACCCCGGCGGCCGGGATCCTGGGCCCGGGATCGACTGCCGAACAAATCCAACGAGGGCAAGGCGCAAGACATGAGCGCCACATATGCATACAACACCACATATATTAGAAAAACAAGCCAAAGGTGTATATCTATATATTTATAAATCCAATGAAGGCTACATATACATACATATATATATATAACACAATGAAGGCTGACTTGTTTGTGTTTGAGGCCTTCTCCTTCTTTCGTTTTTGCTCCAAGAAATCGCTGCGTCGGACAGACACGCGTCGGACAGACACGCGTCGGACAGACACTGCGCGCTATCGCAAAGGCAAAGGCTACATATTAGGCACATATATACTTGTATATACATATATATATATATATATAACAAACCATATACACAAAATTGTGTATATATATATATACACATAGAGGCCAAACAAAAATAACTAGATGCATTTGTGCATACCCACCCATGATACACATATATCACTAAATATGTATGTATATATAAATATGGAAATTCGCCTCGGCCCCAAAGGGGCCAAGGGCGCTCAGATCTCTTCTCCAAAGAGAATCTTCGCTTTTCCAACCCCTCCCAAAATTTTGCCGGCCCGCCCCCCCCCCCAAGCTGCCCGAGACGAGCTTCAGGCCCAGCGCAGGCTTATCTGATGTGTCTGAGACTAGCCTGTGGCCCAGCCCAACCAGGCGAGGCCGGCTTGTCTGACTTGTCTGGAGCCAGCTTCAGGCCCAGCCCAACCAGCAACCCGCGCGAGCAAGCCACAGCCCAGCCCACCCAAAACTGGCTTCAGGCCAGCCCAACCAGCCACCCGCCCTAGCAAGGCCCAGCCCAGCCCGCCCTGCCCAGGCCCCAGGCGCAGGCCTTCCCCAACCAGCAGCCTGGTTCGGCGCATGGCATCAATTGGCCCAACGTGCCCCAGCCCTTCACTCCGGCTGCCCAAGCAGCGCAGCCCAAGCTGGCCAGCCCTAGTCTGAGCAAGCAACCCACTCAAGCACGGCCTACCCCAGCTCCCCTTCGCTTCGGCCCCCAGCCCACAGCTGTTTGAAGGAACATGTAAGTAGAAGCCAAATGACCACCAGCTACCAACTGCAAAGCTGCTAGGTGAATTCACACGGTAGGTTTTTTGTTGCGGTTCTCATCCTGAAGGACCGAAGGATGTGTGTTTAGATGAATCCTTGCTGAAATGAATATTCTTTATGTCCCCCTGTTGGTTTTACAGGGAAACTATCACTATTGAGGATATTTTTCCGGGGTACTTAAGCAAATGGAGGTTTGTATTCCCACCATGTACCTGTCTTGGGCTGAGCAACCGAGCAAGAAATGTATGTCATGGCAAGCCGCCAGCCACGTGAAATGGAGGTGCCCAAACACCCAAAGTTGGTCTTGGTTGTTCAGTGACACCAATTATTGTTCCCCTTTTTATGGAGGCCAAGCCCCACTAAAAATGCTCATCCCCAGAAAGAGGTCCTTTTTTTTCCAAGGGCACTGAGCAGCTGAGATAGTCTTGGTTTTGGATTTCAAACCTTCCGAGCAGGACGGCTTCCGAACATCGAACTAGCACGGGCGAACTGGTGCGGTCACAAGCTTTCAGTAGGATTCGGACCTTCCCAACACTGGATTTCGGTGTTCCTGACCCTTCCCTCAAACTAGGCTGGGCCGAGGCGGGCAACGCGAAGCGTTTACAATTCAACACATATAACATAAACGGTGTAAGCTTGGGTGCGCTTTCGGAGCCGCGTCTGCCCAGAACAATGGCGAAGGATTGAACAGCGAGTGTGGGATGAATCCTGACATCAGAAATACATTTTGGGATGTCCGCTCTTTGCCAATGGAAGGCGTTCCTGTGTCGAGTTTGACCGCCCTGTTGATGTCCCGTATCCTTATACGTTGGTGCTCAATTCGCTTGGTGGTGCCATTTGATAAAGGTCTGCCAGGTGATGCTTCCCGTTTGATTCAAGGGAAACAAGCCCATTTGGCGTTTTTTGATAACCCCTCAAATCATGTGCCAAAAGCTTTCCAGGTCCATCTAAGCTGGCTGCTTAAGACATTCTTCTTACCCAATTGTCAACGTGGCGTTGTTTTTGGAGTTCCACCTCTCACAAGTCATTTCGAGATGCCCTGAAAATGGCTTCCTCTTTAAAACGTCCATTCCCCAATTCGGGCCTACAACAGGGTCTATGTTGGCTTCCCTTAACACCCAACAGGGACCCGGTTTGCGCGGACCAGGTTGGCATACCTCCAAGAAGACACCCGCAGCTTTTAGGTAGGCCATATTTATATAATGTAGTATGCATAATTATGTATAAGTATATAATATACATATATAATCAACACACTTATATCGTCCAATGCCAAAAAAACCACTTGTCCCTTCAGGGTTTGAGACAATCCCTTCACAGCCAAGGCTCTGCGTGTTCAGGACGTTGCTGCACTTCAGCTCAAAGCCTGCGATGTCGCAGTTGGTCAGTTTTGCTTGTTGCTAAGCTCAGTTGTTCAGTGACCCTGGGAAAACAAATAATTGGAACCCTTTTTGGGGCTTGGACCACTTTTCGTGGGGCAACCAAAAAAGTTGGAAAAATAATTGGTGCCACTGAACAACTGAGTAAGTGGCACAAGTTGAAAAACGGGGCTACCCCCCCCAAAAAAAAGAAGATATCCTTTTGGCTTCCCTTTAAGACCAACCCAAAAAGGGTACCCTCAAAAAAAAACACGCAGGTATCTAGCTTCATGGTTGCGACTTTGTGTTGCAAGATGACGCACCTTGACGATGGTGTCCATATCCATCGAACACTTGTCGGAATCTGGCTTGTGGGGCAACGCTGGAAGAGATACACATTTACACTGCTGCGTACCCATTCTAGGTCCTCCAGTAGAGAGGCTAGAATAAGGGTACCCTTTTTTCTGTCTTCCATTTTAGGGGAACCCTCGCAACCAAAAAAGGGGTGAGAAAGGTCACCTAGCTGGGGGACCTAGCATTGCAGTCAGTCGACCTTGACTATTGACAGGGCAACTCATATGAGTGAGGGCTTTCTGGCCACGCTTGTCGCATCAGAACCTCATGGGGATAGCCACCCAGCCCTCCGCCCATTTGAAGTCACCAAACTTGAGCCTAGCTTAAAGTAGTGCACTTCTAGAGGGTAACTTACCCATTCTAAACCCAGGATCCTTCTTTCTAGAAAACCTCCAAAAAACCTGGGGAAACAGCTGGTTGTTGAAAAAAGTCTTTCCGCCAAAAAACCCGGTGGGAAATGGCGATCGGTTTTTGAAAAGAACGATGGCTGAAAAGAATGGGGAATCAAACATCAAACCGCAGAGCACTCAGACATGTGTCAGACTATGTGAGACTAGGCATTTCCATGACAGTCCAAGGGTTACCAAAACAAAACCTATCGCTCTGAAGATGAGGCTCCCCCCCCCCAAGAAACAAACAACTTTAGGGGAAAACACGCTGATATGAGGGTGTCCTAAGGATCCCTTGTAGTAGCTTTGTTCAAACAAAAATTGGGATTGTGCTTGGACGAATGCCCTGACATGTCTCAAAATTGGGGGAACCCAAAACTGGTGGTTGTCGTTTTGGATTCCCTTTAGACCAACCCCAAAAAGGGTAGCTTCCAAAATAGACGCCCATGTATAAAGTTGACGATGTTTCGCGAGGGCAGAACTTGGCAACCAATGAGACACTTGGACTGCCATGTGTGCCCCTCCAGAACCTAAAACCTATGGTAAAAACGGCACAAAGCCGCGCATTTTTTGGTATGGTGGGGGGTAAGGGATCAAGCCTTCTCGACTTGGTCTCAGCGAATCCTTTAACTTTGGGGAAGGCGCGATTGTCTGAAATACCGGATTCTCCCCTCGAACAGTTGCAATTCACTGGCGGCTTGCAACTGAAACTGCCGCTTTCGGAGCGTGCGAAAAGAAAAAAGGCGCCAAGTCCAAGCCAACCTCACCCGCCGCTCGCTTTGTCGCTCTTTTGGTGGCCGAAAAAGGGGGAGCCGCCACGTAACGTCAACCGCCCCCGCTGGGCTCGGACATACCTGGGGCCCCTGGCTGGCTGGGTCGGCGGCATCTTGGCAGCCCAGCTCCTCATGGCCCGAGGGGCAGTTGCACCTCGCGCGCGAGCGGCTTTCAACTTCCAGGGTTGGAAGCCCGACCCTGGGAATCCGAACAAGCGAAAGAAAAAAACAAAGGAACATGAACAAACAACAAAACTTTAGAGAAAGAAAAAAGCACAACCATCCGATGCGCTCAGTCCCCACTGCCCCTCCGGGCCTTCAGGGCTGACTCCTTCGAAGGGCTGTCCATAGGAAGCCCAGCAAGCCACCCCCTACCCCAAACCCCAAACCCCCAACCCCAATCCAGAAAACCCCATCCAGAAAACCCAGAAAACCCAGAAAACCCAGGAGCGCCTTGGCAAATCCAGAAAACCCCCCCAACCCCAATCCAACCCCAAAATGGCCGGGGGGAACCGCCAGTGCGACAAGTCGGAAGTCGGAGCAGAAACTGCGACAAGTGGGACCCCTGACAAGATCTTACAAGCAATACAAGGTAAGAACTAAGGATTGCCTTGGAGCAGCCATTCGCAACAAAGAAGGCTCCACTCGGGCTCCTTCTTGCCAAGGATGGCTGTGACACCCTACTTGACCATCCTGATCAAGGATGAGGAGCATGCGGACTGGACCATGTCATCTCAACCATCTGCTTTTTTTGTTTTACATGAGGATGCAAACACCTAACGCGCACACACACACACACACGAAACAATGACTGAATCGCACGGGGGCCACGCGGAAGCTAGGACGGGGGTCTGCTTGTGCAAAGGATGGAATAATATGTTCGCCCGCTTTTTAATGGAATAATATGTAAACACGCCTCGTCTGTTGACTCGATTGGGTGTGGTTCCTTCTAGCTTCAAACAAACCCCTGAGAGTTCCTCATCTTACAAGAAGCCCCCCGCCCCCCAATGCACCCAGTGCAGGTTGCCAACAAATGCGTTCCTATTTTTCTAGTAGCACGTACTAGCACATAGATCAATGAACATGAACCGCACGCGCACACACGCAGACACACGCACACACAACCAAAACGCAAGACACACACAGACGCGAGCACACTCGTGTGCACAAACACGGTCCCAGATCTGAGTTCCCCCGCTCGTCCGAATCGAACTGCTTTGTGCACCCATGAATCACGCCTTGGCTCCCAAAATGCCATTTGCTTACCCCCCTGGAAAACATTTTATTAAAACAAAAGTCACCCTTCAAACCCGACACAAAAAAACAAAAAACAAACTATACTAAGAGGCGAGCTGAATCTGCCATCGGGATCCTTTGCCAAAAGAAAGGGGCTCGCAAAAAACGGCCCCACAAAATCAGGATTTTAAGGTAGGTGCCACCAAAAACGGTCGTCTTCAAAAAACACAGGCCGGCTTTCAGCAGAAAAGAACCACAGCTCCAAGACTTTGCGTTGCCCCTGCCCACTGGCGCAACATCTTGCCCGCCAAAACTTGCAAGACCGTGCTGATCAAAGGCAACCCCTTCAAATAGATCGCTTGCCTGCGAACGAGCCAACATCCAACCTGGTAAAGAATTATACCCAAAGCCACATTGTCCTTGTCCTCAATGTCAAAACTGGTTTGATCTCGCTTGGACTTGTTTGGACTCGTTTTACAACCAACAAAAGAGCAGGACCATCTCGTTTGTCAGTGTTTTGCGGTTTTTGCACTTTGAAGCTCGCACCTTTTTCAGTGCAAGCGTAGTACGCGAGGCTTTTTTGCCAGCTCCAGCTCGAACATCGACCAACTTTTCAGCAAGTGCGAAGCGCGCGGTTTGGCAGCTGGGACATCGCCTAACGGCTCACTTTGCAAAGCCATCGTGGACTCGTTTTGGACTTGGACTCGAGTGGAATTGCTTCATTTTGCACACCCCGAAGCCGGCTGCACGTCACGGTGGCGACCAAGTCTTGATCTCGTTGTTGTCTCGTTTCGCATGGATTTCTACAAGACTATCTCGTTCTGATCTCGTGAAACTTGGGGGAGGGGGGGCACTATCTCGTTTGCATCGAAATCTCAACTTTCTATCGTATTCTGACCCTTTCAGTACTCAAGGGTCGAAGAAGTGGTCGGTTGCTCACGTGAATCGAAAGGGCGGCGACTTGTGTTTGGACTGGCCCTCATTCTTCACGATCGGTTTAAAGTGAAACCAAAGGGAGACCGAAGCCCATTGTGCGGATGCATGTTGAAGCACACCCTTGCAGCAAACCGGCCATTGACAAAGCATCCTCGCCCACACCTTGCATCTCAGCTATGATGTAAATAAGATACCCTGCGGACATGTCACGTGGATATATGTATATATATATATATATACATATGATATATGTATATATGTAATATGTATGTGTGTGTGTATATATATATATATTATACGCGTCCGCCAACAACTTTCAAGTTTCTATCCCAAGTCAGAAGCAGCTCTCCCCAGTCTCTGTTCGAACATATTTGCTGTGTGTGAGCGCGAAAGTGACGCCTTAAAGCTAAAAGGCTGCAAGTTTAGTTCGGTCTTGATCGGAAACCACGTCAGTCCTGTCAAAATCGCACATCGTCCACCGAGTCCCAGTACGACAGACATAGACCCGCTTATCCTCTGCTCTCACAGGGGACAGGTGGTGTGTGGTCCCAAATCATTATCATCGCCAACGAAGGAAAAAAACAAACTATAGACAAGGACAACATCAATTAGTACCCCCCGGCACCGACTAATACCTGGGCTGTCACGATCATTCTGTCTTGGCCACGGACTTATCCACGAGTCGCCCATTCTTGAGGGTATGCCCCCTTGACATACACCCACGACTTGGGTTTGACATGTGGGTAGATCAGACCCTGATCCCCCAGAAAAAAAAGGGAGGCTATTGATTTAAACATCTTCTTGCTGGTGCTCAGTAGGGAATGAGGGAATGAGCCTCATAAACCATCCCTTGCTGGTGGTTTTCCTTTATTCGGGGACCAAAGCAACTGGGTTCATTCCATCTCACATTCCCCTCCCGATTTCGCACCAGCAAGTCACACAAATGGCAAAAAGCCCTCCCCTCGACTGTCATTCCCCGAGCGCAAGCAAGTCTTTAGAGTGCTTGGCAGACTCCTGCCCCGGCCCTCGCGGCTCGGAACTCTGAGCACGTTGCCCCCCTGGAACTGTGCGAAGCGCATCGGATCCTCGCGGGCGAATTTCCAAAGTCCCTTTCGGACATATAAAACAACAAGTAAATCAAGCAAACCAAGCAAACCAAGCAAAGCAAGCCAAGCAAGATCAAACAAGATCAAGCAAGATCAAGCAAGATCAAGCAAGCAAGCAAGCAAGCAAGCAAGCAAGCAAGCAAGCAAGCAAGCAAGCAAGCAAGCAAGCAAGCAAGCAAGCAAGCAAGCAAGCAAGCAAGATCAAGCAAGCAAGCAAGATCAAACAAGATCAAGCAAGCAAGCAAAAGCATGCAAGCAAAAAACAGGTCGGAAAGAAAACCGGAAAGAAAGATAAACACACAAGAAATACAAGCAAATAAAGAACGAGACACGAAAACTATAAACAAAGAAGCAAACAAACAACCAAACATACAAACACTTTTGGCTGTGCCAAGTCGACGTCCGTCAAAACTCGCAAGGGAACAAACAAACAAACAAACAACCAGACAACCAAACAAACAAACAAACAACCAAACAAACAAACAGACAAACAAACAAACAAACAAACAATCCCATCTCTCTCCGTCTCGCTCTCACTCTCTCCCCTAGAAGATCTCTGGATGATTTCTTTTCTCAGCTATAGACAGCATTTTCCATCCAGGTTTACCTCTCCATCCATTCTTTTTGGGCAAGAAGGTACCTCCTTCGAAAGCGCTGAATCCCTCTTGGAGCCTAGCTGGGGGATGTGTTTCCCCGCGCACACACAAATCGTGTGTATGTTTTTGTGCGTACCCTTTCTGGTTGGCTTGTAAGAGAAACCAAAAGGAGTACAGATTCATTCGGAGCCTGGCCCCTGCCCAAACATCAGCGTTGGTATAGGTTTGTTACATCTGAGTCCCCCCCCCCCCCGCCGCAACAAAACACTTACTAGTTAGCAGGAAAAGTGTCACTTTCCAGAAGTTTACCTAAGATACAAGGCTACAGGCCACAACTCAAGTGGAAAGTGCTCACCTGCTTTCCCCTTGGTCTTCTCACGTGCACCACACCGATGCGGTTTAACCGGCCGTGCCTTGAACCGTTTGAGGAAGAGCGCTGGCAGTCCCTCCGTGGTGCTTGACTGTGCTTCTTCACCTTGGCTTTCAGATTTCAGAGGGTGGCTTTCCGTTTGGCTTTCTTTGGGTTGGTTTTTCCTCTTTTGGCTCCTCTTTTGGTTCAAAGGTTTACGAGGTGTGCAATACACTTCCTCGCACACACACCTGGAACCTGAACAAAGAGCCTGTGGGAATTTTTGGCCCTGGGACATTCTTGGGTTCCGGTTCAAATATTAGGGTGTCCTTTCTTGCGGGCACCTCTTTCTGGAGTTTGTTGGCCTTTTTTAAGGGGAACGAACTAGAAACCACACATTTCGCGGGTTCCCATAATATTTTCATGACACCATATCCGCCGACATTGCTCGGCGTGTCGGATACTTACTAGAGGATAGAGGATAACCCCCCCCCTAACCCCCCCCCGCCCGACGTCTATTACGTAGGTTTTTTGGGGGGGGGGGGGTCCCCCACGTACCGCGCGGCAATTTGATGACGTTCCACTAAACGTAGTCTTCGGGGAGCCGGTGTCGCAAAACAGGGGTCCCAGGCTCGATTCCCCCTGCCGGCTTTTTTGCTGGCTTGGGCTTCCTGCATCCTTTTGCCGAAAATCTGGAAAAACTCAATGTTTTTGGACGTCCTCTTTGCGAAAACGCTGGAAAAACCGTGTTTTTTTTGCGGGAAATACATACATACATGCATGAATGCATGCATACATACATACATGCATGCATACATACATACATACATGCATACATGCATACATACATACATACATACATACATACATACATACATACATACATACATACATACATACATACATACATACATACATACATACATACATACATACATACATACATACATACATACATACATACATACATACATACATACATACATACATACATACATACATACATACATACATACATACATACATACATACATACATACATACATACATACATACATACATACATACATACATACATACATACATACATACATACATACATACATACATACATACATACATACATTACATACATACATACATACATACATACATACATACATACATTACATTACATTACATTACATTACATTACATTACATTACATTACATTACATTACATTACATTACATTACATTACATTACATTACATTACATTACATTACATACATTACATACATACATACTTACTTACGTACTTATACATACATACATACATACATACATACATACATACATACATACATGCATACATACATACTTATGTACATGCATGCATACATACGAGAGAGGGAGATTGGGGAGAGAGAGGCTTGGGGGGATGGGGAGGATGGGAGCCGAGAGAGGGAGAGAGGACGACAGAACACACAAGGGAGACAAGGAAGAGAGGAAGAAGGAGAAAAGGGAGAGGACAATGTCGGCGGACTGAGCCGGAGGCTCTAAAGTTAATTGTTGCTTCGAACCATTTCAAGTCAGTTCCCAAGTGAGTTATCCTATACAGGGCACCACAAGCCGTCCTCAGCCCCATCCCCGCTTTTGGCAAATAAAACGTACCCTGCTCAGCAAATGAACACTGAGCCCTTAACATCAAGGTTCCTCGAACACTGATTTTTTCCGAACATGGTGTGTTTGCGTTCACTGGTCTAGAACATGTTTTGAACCAGTCACCCTGTCCCTTGAAAACCACCATGCGTCCGGGACCCTGACGTCATTAGCATTCGTGTCCACCAATCACTTGCCAACTCTGAAGTTTCATAGCATTCAAGTGGACTGTTGAGCCATATCGGCCTGGGTGGGAATGGTCCGAATGAAAGACCTTCACTTCGAACATTGAAAACCCGTCTCCTGGTATCGCAGAAGCCCAAGCCCTCAATCCCGCAACCCCAGTCGACAAGATGTCCGCCTCAATTCCATCAAATTTGTCCTTCGAGGTTCTCCCGAGGAAGCCTTTTTGCAATAGCAGACTGCCATTTTCATAGGGGGTCCCTCTGAGATGCCCAAACAAGGAATTACAGGCAAGCCACTATAGCAATGCTACAGGGATCCTTCCATTATACACCTGAACATTGCCTTGTAAATTGTGGATTCCCTTTACACAAACCATGTTTTAAATGGGCAAAATGTATCTTTTAAGGAGCCCTGGTAAAGGGGAAGCCATGATGTAAAACCCAAAGGTAGCCATACCTGGTCAGCTGCTAGTGGCTTGCCTGGAAGCACTAGGGATGGATTGAAATCGTAGCCCAAAAGGAAGCCAACCACCTGAAGAACCAACACCTGCCGATGTATCATGGTCCTGCGCCCTGTCAGGAGGCTCCAAAACAAGTCAACTCTTTCAGCGCTCCCTATGTGTCCCCTTCAGAACCCCCACTGACAGGAAACTCACTTTCAAGTTGACCGAAAGGTGATGTTTAAAAGCACAAAAAGGGGCACATATAGATGTGTCTTGTGAGGGTACCCCTGTTTTGTGGCTTTAAAGGGAAGCCAAAAGGACAACCACCCGTTTTTGCAGTAGGTTTGCTTAAAAAAGACATATGCCGATACAAAAACACATGCTTGGATGGTGTCCAACTTCACCCTTCCGTTGGCAGTGCCGGATATGACTTCCCCTCTCAGCGCGCAGCAAAGGACGCGGTCCTGATGCGCGGCCAATGGGAAGACCAAAGGGACACCGCCACTCAAGGATCAAGATGGTTCAAGAAGACACACCAACAGAATCAATTTAATCAATGACCAAATCAAATCAAAGCAGGGCTGTGAGAAATGACTTCTGCGTAGAAACAGGGCCTCCCAAAGACTAACCACCCCTCTGAAGAGGGGATTCCGAAACTTGTATCACAGAAGTGGGGCTGAACCCCGTGATCCCACAACCCTGAATCAAATGGACCGCAGGAACATGCGCATTTGGACGGTCGGTTGTTGCCTTGATGCATGCCGATGTGTGCTTCCCCTATCCGTGTTGGGTGTTGTTTGCTTGATTTATGCTTCGCGGTTGCCAGCATCATTTGCCTTGCGCTCTGCTAATGCTCAAAGAGGCGTCCAGACTGGTTCCTTTGCATTGGAAGAATACACACCCAACACGCGGCAACTTGGAGGCTTGCAAATGACTGGAGAAGCAAAGGAACGCCTGGAATCTGCATTGCCTGGCCCAAGAAAGGGCCGCCTAGAGGCTGTCACAGGCGCACAAAGCTCTGAGGCAAGGTGACAAACACTCTCTGATACAACACAAGCAGCGTCCAACTGGAGAATCCATGCAGTGGCTACCCTCTGATGCATTCCAGATCTCCTTGTGCGTTCGAACATGTTATCTGGGTCCTCCATTAGAATAACGGTATAGTCTATTTTAGTAGGGGAACCCTCCCAACCAAAAAAGGAGCGAGAAAGGGCACCTAGCTGGGGGACCTAGTTATCTTTCCCTCTCTCGCTTCAGTGTTGGAAGTTCCCTTTGAGAAGTTACACCCTCAATGTCATCCACCGTGTGTTTATCAGCGCCATCCGGCAGAATCAGTTCAAGAAATGTTGAGCCTATTCCTTCGCAGGCTCCAACTTCTCCAAGAACAAAAAAAATGGAATCCAATGCAGGGCTTGTTCCTTGCTCTCTTGCACATCGCATCATACCGCACCTTTGCCAGTCCATGAACACCTCTGGAAGGTCGGGTACCAAGCAGAGTAGATTGCAGCGCTGTGGTTGTGAAGAACCTTTCACCTGCTCAGAGGACCTGCAAAAGAAAGTTATATTTCGGGAACCTTGACCTTAACTAAATGGATCAACAAGAGAAGTCTGCTTCGGTTAGCCGAGACGTACAGAGTCAGTTCAAAGTACTTACGTCAACTCTGAGCAACCAACGTGCTGGATTTGCCAACCCAGCTTTCAAGACATGCTTTAGAAAGATCGGTTAGCAGCTTAGATGTTGTTTTTGTTTGCTGACTCTAGCGTTCCTGAAGACTTTGGATGAATTCGATTGCGCATGCTCCGTCCCTGTACGTGTGGCTTGTCCACAGAGTTCATGTCGACTATCTCATTGATCCAGAAATGAAAGGCAAGCTTCTGCCATGGGAAAACAGAGGGCAAGTGGCAAGCAAGCTGATCTTATGCTCCAACCAGAAAGCCCGTGACTTTCGTAACTGACCTGTGAGTGGGAACCCCCGAAAGATGAATCCCTGAAAGATGTCCAAAGGCTCCGGAAGGATAAAAATAAAAATACACCCCCACGTGGTTTGTCGAGCTTTGGAGTTCCATCTTGTCCGTGAAAAATCTACCCAATCTGGGAATAACAAAAGGTTTGGAGTTGGCACCATGTACTTGCTCCCCTCAGATCTACCCAACTTCGGGAAACCGGATTTTGGGATTGGCTGGCGCCACGTTTTGTTTGTTTTCTCTTCCGCTTTGAACAGGGGCCCGGTCAGGCCGCGCCTCGCCGGCCTTGTCCAGGGTGTCGCGCAAACGAGTGCAGGCGGCCTCCAGCCTGGCAAGGGCTCAGAGCCATCTGCGAGGTGAAGCGCTTCACCCGCTTGAACGGTGGTTTGATGGTGGTTCCAGGCGGGTTTTAGGTGGGTTCGAGGGGGTGAAAAGTGGCTTTGGGCGGCTGAAAGGTGGGCTTAAGGTGGCTTAAAGCTGGTTTTAGGTGGTTTTAAGGGTGGTTTTTAGGGTGGTTCTTGTCGGGTTTTAGGTGGGTCAAGGGTTTTTAGCAATCTAAATCTAAACTTATGCAAACTCCTGCACATGCATGTGCGGGCTTCCTAAACAAACACTCGTTGCAACGGCAAATGGGAGCGGTATAGTTGCTAACTTCCAAAACAGGAGCCCGGTGTGTGGTTCCTTTTGGGTCTTAGCACCAAAGCTATGCACAAGGTCTCCCACTTTTGATGACCATTACCCCATGGTTGAACTCGGGCCGAATATGTTGTTTTTTTTCTTCGGATAGCTGACCAAGTCCAAGAAGTCTATGAGACGCTCCGTGAAACATAGGGTGTTCAACAAAGATGCCCATCTTCTTTTGCTTCCTTCTCGGATATCCACAGCAGCATTGGGCATGCAGCATGGGAGCCTTGTGATTCAGTTGCCCTGGTTCCTGGGAAACATCAGCTGCGTGCTAATTGTCAAGTGCGTAGCTCGGGTTGCCAAGTGGCGACCAACCATTGGTGGATAAAGGAAATGAACACCAGCCACAAATAAAACACCATGGGGGATGTGGTGGATGAGGACCAACCGCTAGGTACTGGCTTGCATACGCGTCTTGCCGGCCACAGTCGTAATGCCTCAGTCTCCGGCGCATCCCGCCCAGCATGCCAGTTGGAATCCAAGTTCTTCTTGAGCCTGGCGCAGGAATGCAAGCATGTGCTCAAGAGGCGTCAACATGTAGCTTCCCCTGATACCCTGAATTCATCCGGCCCAGCCTGACCTAACTTTGCCGGGATGGTCCGCGTTCAACACCAGCCAACGACACGTGGCTTGTTTTAACCAACGGGAATACGCTGGAAGGTTGCCATCTTGGCTTGCTGCTGGCTTTAAAGGGGAAGCAAGTGAGTGCAGCCATGCGGCATGCGGCGTGTTGCGTTCTCGATGCGAACACGTGCTGCTAGAGAGCGTCGCGGCTCACGTCATTTTCCCCCGCAACACAGAACCCCATGGTTGATGGTGGATCCACAAAATGACTTTATTGCGTCATTCATCAAGCCATTCTGTTGGTAAAACTGTTGCAACATTCACTACTGTTCGTCCTGGTGCTGCGCCTGCGCCTCTCCATCCACTCGTCTCAAAATGTTTGTGTACCGGCCGGCGCGACGTGTGCACCTTTCCGTAGCTCTTCTCCTCAAAGGAACTGCGGACTCTCTGAAGAAATCCGAGCCGTTCTTCGATCCCACACCAACAAAAAATCAATCCTGATGGTTACTTGGTGGAAAGAACAACACAACCACAACAACCTTAGAGGTCAAACAAAGAACACAGCAAGCAGCATCCAAGAAACTTGCGTTGCACGTAACTGGGCTGTCCTCAGATCCCCCGCCAAAAGTGACTAACTTTTAGTGGGTTGAATGGAAATCCAACCACTAAACACTAAAAGGCCAAAAGGCTAAGGAACCGGATAGCTGGGAACCACCAAGTTCACACCAGTAAGTCCCCGGCCATCGTCTCACGCCCACTGGCCCACGCCTTGGAATCCCCGAACTGGAAACTGGGGGGGCACTCCTTGCGCCTGTATGGGATGTGGACCTTGTTCTCTAGACAATCTTCTGAGTGAGTTATAATAATTCACCAGCCTGAAATAAGGTGGCTCGGGGGCTATCCCCCACATAAACCACCATTTGGGGCGAATTCGGTCGCGTGAGGTCGTTCTATGTGGAGGTCTTTTTGAATGTACCTATTTCTTGTGGGTTTTAAAGGGACACCTAAACTAGTAGAGAGGTTCGAATAAGGGCACCCGATATCTTTTCTGTCGTCTATTTTAGTAGGGGAACCCTCCCAACCAGAAAAGTTGGTGAGAAAGGGCACCTAGCTGGGGGACCTCTAGTTGTCGTGGGTTTTAAAGGGACGGTCCGAGGGCTCCGGCGGAGTTCATCGCGTCGATGGACTTCTTCAACTCCTCCTGAGCAAGCGCCGGCTTCGTGCCTTCGTCTCCGCCGGGTCTCAAAGCTGTGTGAAAAGCAGGGGGGCCTTTGGAAGATTCGCAGCTACTGAGCTCACAGAAAGGATTTTGTGTTGTTCGCCTTCCCGGGCCCCGCCAAGGCTTGCGCCTTGGAATGCTCAAGAGATACCCCGCGCCCCTCGGCATCCCAGTGGTGACTAAGCAACGACCCTGACAGTAGAAGCTTCACCTTCGGTTCCAGACCTGGGAAGGTTGACTCGCTAGCCCAGCCCTGTGAATATGGTGATGACCAGGTCTGGAAACAAAAAGAACATCATCCATCCACGTTGGTTTGAAGGGAAAAAGAGCATGCTGTGCTATTGCGCCCCGAAATGAGCGAGCGGGAACACCTAAGAGAACTTTGAGCAATTTTGAGCAGGACGCTTTTGGCGTTCGCTATATTGTTCTTCAATGTTTCAGACATGGCCATGCAAGGCTATTGTCTTTTAGGTTTCGCTGTCCCTGAGACAAAGACATATCTGCGAAGACATCTCTGGACGAAAGAGCTTAGCCTTTCTCTCAAATGAAAGATGCGGCGTTGCCCAACCACCAGAATACTTCTATGGCTTGCAGTGAACAAAACCTCCTTTGGCCAGTCTGCCCAGGGATTTGCAGAAAAACGGATCCCAAAAACGAGAAGGTTTGGCGGTTCAACCAGAAAGCACGTTCAAACTATTGTTGTCTAGACAGCCTCCTTCTGGTTTCGCTCAAAGAGTCAGGGTCTGGTTTGGGCGAACGCCCTGCCCGACGCCAAGGCGCCACATGCTCTTTCAGCTCGGGCAGCTCTTGAAAGCTGGTGCCTCGCGCAAGTTGCCCTGGAAATGGACATTCTAGGGGTAACTTCCATTTCCATTCTTTCAAGAAATCCTTCCTTCTAGAAAACCACCAAAAACCTGAGGAAATGGCTGGTTGTTGAAAAGAACGATGGCTGAAAAAAATGGGGATCAACCCCTAGAAACATGGGTCCTGCGCGCACCAAAGGAAGATGTTGTTTTTAAGCCAGTTGCATAGGAAGCGCTTGTCACAAGAAACATAATCAGCCCTCCAGCTACAAGGTCGGTGACCGCTAGAATTATTTGGGCAGCGCATGCGACTGGGCATGGCAAGTTTCTGCAATGCGCATACCGGACATACTGAACCCTCGAGTAGTTAAGGGGCCTTCATCATTAGCGAGCTCAGCTCACCACACGGTCCTTGTCATTTGTGCAAATAAATGAGGTTCACGTCAACTTTTGGCCGGGGGCGGAAAAAACAGAAATGCGTCTGCCAGCCCATAGGGCCGTGTTTGGCAACGTGCCGAGACCGGAGTCATTGGCCTCTGTGCCTCCAAATGAAATCTCCGCTCCCACATACCCAGGCCTCTTAGGATGGTGCTGGCACACTCCTTGTACGCACAACCCTTTGAAAGAAACGAGAAAAAAAAGGAGCGAGCTTATAGCCCCGATGTTCTTTTGGGGGTATGTACCCCTCCAATAAATTACACCACACAAGGTGTCAAGGAAACGGACCTGCCACCCATGGCCCAGTCGGCGTGCCTCTGACTCCATGCCGCGCGCCGAGCTCCTCCGCCAGCCTCACGCAGCCGTTCCAGCGATCCGGCCTTTGGGGCTCAAACTTTTGCCTTGCATATTGCGGCGGGCATACAACTATACAGCATGTATGTAGGTAGTGTAATCTGATGTGGCTGTGGGTCAAAACCCAGCAAACCCCTGGTGAACATCAAAATAGTTGGCAAATGGATGTTCATCCACCCCCAAAACGGAGCCATAGCTTATGCCCCATGGCCATGTAATGTCGCGTATCGTAACGTAACGTAATGTAGTGGATGCATGTTTGTACGGACGTATGGATGCATGCAATGTACAATATGTATCTGGTCTGGTGTACATGTAGAATCTAGAGCTCAAAGTCAATGACGACGCCTGAGGTCCGTCAACTGACCCATGGCTGGATTTCAGCGCTGAAAAGAGGGCTGAGTTTTACTTGGCCAGTGTCTAGCCCGAACCTAGGATTTCACCTGTGCTAATAGTCGTCATTTCAGCCAAGGCCAAAAAGGTAATTACTATGTTTACCGGCATAACGTGAGACCTCTGCTCGTAGCTCCTTTCAGAATTTCAAGTAGTATGGTTCTGGACACCCCAACCAAGTGTTCACCGGGGCTCCGCATTCGTCTGTCTGCGAGCCCAAAGCGTCAAATGCCGGTGCAGACCTCCTGTTGTGCCAAAGCTGGTATCACTTCATTGCCACCGCCAACACCACAGCCAACACCATCACCATCACCACCACCACCACCACCACCTTCACCTTCACTTTCACCACCAATCAGCGGAAGCAGCAGCTGCCCAATACTATGAGGACCTGCCACATTCAACTTTGAGATGCCTGTGCCATGCGGTCACAAGGAACTTTGCAGGTAACAGGAGATAAAGCCCACACCAGCTCCCAAGTGCTCAGGCTTGGTAGTGGACCACCGGCGGAGCTCCCTCGATTTTCTTCTACCGCGGGCGGCCGCCTGACATTTCACAGGCAGCGGCCAGTGAAACATGACTAGAAGAAGGGCGACTGCTCACAGCCGTGGTGCATGCGCCGAACCAGCCGAATTCGGCTGAAGAACATGGGCCCAAAGGACCTGGGACAGAGCCAGCGCCCAAAAACCAAAGCTGAAATCTGAGACCCCCGCGTCCTATCGGGCATGATGTGCACACCTGCAAGAAGCATTTGCAGCGACACTGTTTCCACTCGCGGCCAAGCAGTGGTGAACACGCCACCGGGAAGCATTGGGCGAAGGAGTGCCAAAACACTGATTTTCCTGGCGCTGCAAAATGGCAAGCCTTTCCTGCTCAAACCACCGTGGATGGACGAAATCCTGCACCACCTAAGAAACCCTGGAATGATGATTCCCCTGTAAATACCAACCAAAACAATGGTTTCAACCATGGTTTCCAAGTGGTGCGAACGGATTTCGCAACCATCCACAGTAGGTGCGGCTGAGAAAAGAAGAAAACAAAACACCCCGCCCCCCCGAAACTGGGGGAGGCCCTTCTTTTTGGACGCCCAAGGATTTGAGTTTTGGGCGGCACCAGAGACTGGACGGGGCTCTGGGGATCTGATGCAAAGTTCGAATGGGGCTGGCCATGCTCTTTTGGCGGACCAAAACATCCATGTGGCTAAGACCCCCGGAAAAAATGAAAAACCTATTTCCAGTAGAGCTTAATTCCTTTTGAAACCAACAAGGGAAAATCATAATAATAATAAAATATTCTTAAGCAAATGGAAGTAAAGATGCTACCATGCGGTGGGCTCAAAATGCTGAACACGACCTCCATGCATGCCATTTCTAAGTCTTAAACCGGAGTGGGGCGGAGAGGTGCTATGCGTGCATGGTCTCTAAAGTGCACAACGGACCCCCTCGCGCAATCTCTCAAGCAAAAATAATGTCAGTTATAATAAACACAATAATTTGTATTTAAAAAAACACTACCAAAACTAGTTAATACCCACTAGTCATAATGATTATGATTGACAATTATTATAATAACAAGTTGCTGTCAACATCAGCTTAATAATAACATTAATACTCATTATCGTGGCACAATAACAAAATAATCAATATTAACAACAATATATCTAAGTCTTGGTACGCTCCAAGGGGTACACCCCCAGAATTGCAATGACAGCAGTTTTGAGTTCCAGCTGAGGAGAAGAAGGTGAGGGCCGCCGTCAGTTGCAATGGGTTCGGCTTTTCAATGGATTTCAGAGGGGTTTTTTGAAATGGGGCATTTCTTCACCGCCAGCAATCACAGCAAAGGCGACCTCAATTTCAGACACCAACAACTCAAAACCAGTTCGCACGCACAAGACTTAGACCCGAATCGCACCGAATCTCACTTGCATATCTAGCTGGTAAAGTATGCACCACGCCCTGTCAAGCCTCACATGAACAGAATCCGCCGCCTGCCGGCGTGTCTTGTGGATGTTGTTGTTCTTGTTTCTGTTGTTGCTTAGACTTTCCCTTGCGACGGATTTTTGCTACCCACACCCCCCCCCCCCGCCCTTCCCCCTCCCCCCCCCCCCTTCCCCCCTCCCCCCCCCCCCCCTCTCTCCCCCTCCCCTCCATATCTTCTGTGTCTTGCTTTCTTTTTCCCATCTGCATCTATCGTCTCTCTTTTGTGCGCAAAGGCCGCTCCCTCAGCAAACCCGCGGAGAGCGGACATTGGCCGTACCCTCGCTGCTTCTGGCTGTTGTTGTCCGCGCTGTCGTTGCCGCGGGTTGTCCACTGCGACGGGTTACTGTCGGTCCTCCCGGCCCTTCTCCATATCTTCTCTGTCTTGCTTTCTCTCTCCTGTCAGAGGCTATAGTGTCTCTTTAGTGGTTGCGCAAGGGCATCTCCCTCGGCAAACCCGCGGAGAGCGGACATTGAACCTACCCTTGCTGCTGCTGCGTTCTGGATGTCTTTGTTCGTGCTGTTGTTGCTGCGCCTTTCCCACTGCTCGCAGCTTGCGGCGTCTGTCTGGCGCTGTGGCCGAGGCAGATAGCTCGGAGAGCGGAGAAGATCTAACCTTCAAAACACCCTCCTTCATTTTACTATGCTCTTGCGGCGTGGCTGGATGCAACGTGTGGGCTCTCACGCTTCTTTTCCTGTCTTGTACACCCCGCAGCCAGCCGGTCTCACTTTGGCCTTGGTCCGGTCTCAACACTCCCTTGCAGCTGCAGCCCAAGCAACTTGCCCATGTCTGACCTTCAATTTCACACGGATGATGCTATTGGTGCAGGCACGGCTGAGGCCTGGAGCCACGTCCAGCTCCACCAGCATCCTCAGGTTGCCAACAAACATTTCATTTCTGCGGTTACTTCTCTGATTTCCAAGCACCTGGTTTCTTGCCTTTGCCTTCCTCGGGCAGCCCTTTTTTCTAACCGCTCGGCGGCCATCTTCTGGAGTTCTGCTGCATTGAGCTCGACGTGGCTCCGTGCCTCAGCCGTGCCACACGCGGGAGTGACAGTCGCCGCCAGAATTCCTTCTAATGATACACCAATAGCATCATCTGTGTGAAATTGAAGGTCAGACATGGGCAAGTTGCTCGGGCTGCAGCTGCAAGGGAGTGCTGAGACCGGACCAAGGCCAAAGTGAGACCGGCTGGCTGCGGGGTGTACAAGACAGGAAAAGAAGCGTGAGAGCCACACGTTGCATCCAGCCACGCCGCAAGATTCCTCGCGCAGTGGCAGCATCCCTTGCCCCCCCCCTGCTTCAGCCGGGTGGCCGGCGGAACACGCCAACGGCGGCTAAATCAACAAAGGCAACCGCCAACTGAAAACCCACAAGTACCAAATCACTAAAAAACACAAATAACAAACAACTCAAAACCTGCACAAGTAACAGAGAAGCCGAGTGACGTCACACGCTCCCCGTCCCCTACTCAGCCACTTGCACCCCAAGGGGCCCCAGTCTGTGGGCTCCGCCGCCAGGCCGGGCACCAAACCTCGATCGGGAGGAGCTTTGGAAAAAAGGGAAAAATACTCTTTCTCCCACTCAGTTGTTCAGTGACCCTGGAAAAAAAGGGAACCCTTTTTGGGGAAGACCCGCCCAACACAGAACACACCTATAAATTTATGTTCCCTTGTTGGCTTTAAAAGGGCTTTGCATCACTACTGGAAATGTGTCATTTTCATGGTGTTCCTTATCTCAGTTGTTAAAAAAATTGTATCACTACTGGAAATGTGTCATTTTCATGGTGTTCCTTATCTCAGTTGTTAAAAAATACTCTTTCTCCCACTCAGTTGTGGGAACTTCAGCTCAAAGCCTGCGATCGCACTTGGTCAGTTTTGCTTGTTGCGAAGCTCAGTTGTTCAGTGACCCTGGAAAAAAAGGCAACCCTTTTTGGGGCTTGGACCACTTTTAGTGGGGCAGCCAGCAGAGAAAAAGGGGAAACATAATTGGCGCACTGAACAACTGAGCCCCCCCCCAAAAAAACATGGCATGGCACCTGAAAGGGGGCATGTCCGTTTTAGTTTGATTAAGAATAGATGGGTTCCACTGGTTTAGGTGGGGTTTCTTACATTCGACTGACTGTATCTCAGACCCGGAGCTGCCGGGTCTAAGGTCGAAAAATCGAACCCCAGGGCGCAAGGTGTTTGACTTCCAAACAATTCCCCTGCCCCGCAAGTATTCTTGAGGTGTCCCTGACAAAACCTGGGCGCATGGCTAGGCAAACAGGAAAAGGAATGGGAAAGCGACCTTCATAGTTTGCGCCGAGCTGACCATAGGCTTTTCAGGGGACGCCACCTACCATCTGAATAAAGGCTAATTTTGAACAACCCACATGAGTGTGCCTTGTTTGGAGGGTGCACCCTTCTTGGATGGTTTTAAATTAAAGGAAAGGAACAGGAAACCACTCATTTGAGGTTTGAGACAAACCCTGAAGGCCGGGATTCCCCAATATCACGAAACATGGGATTCCCATGACAGTGGGCGCCTAGGGCGCAAAGAAAAGCCCATTCGAGGCCAAACGCAAATTGATCTGAAACACCCAAAAGGTGCTCAGGAACAAAAGGGACACCCGGCTTCTTCTCGAACAAAGGCCATAGGTGTCCTTTTTGGGAAAATAGCTGGCCCTGGTAGTTGATTTCCAAGTAAACCAGGGCCCTCTATGTTTGCGACAAAATCGACCAAAAAGGACACCTATGCTGACGGCGTTTTGGGCTTCCGAATTTCCAGCCGGGTTTCGAACAATGGTGGACCCCAACGGGAAGCCAAGAAAAGTGCCAGTCCCCACCATTTGGCCATGGGTCAAAATCCCGGTTATCCCCCAGTAAACATCCCAATCCCCACTAAAATAGGTTCTACAATGTGTCATTTTCGGACCGCGACTTTAGAGGCACGTCTCGGAAAATGCGAGCCCTTCCCATCCATGTAGGTTATATATACCCTGGGGTTCAAAGCACCATTCAATCAATGGAGGTTCATATAACCACCATATCTTTTTCCTAATGAGTGTCATCATCTAAATTCGGTCAACCTTTGTTTTATTGGGGGGTTGAACCTCAGGGTATTTATAAAAATATATGTGTGTGTGTGTGTGAGTATATGTATATCTATATATTATATATATATGCAATGTATATATGTATATATATATATATATCAACATTTGGATGTGGCTCAATGAAATGTGTATATATATATAAAAGATTTAGTGGAACTACTGTGTAAACGGGTGCCGGTCGGGTCGGGTACCCCGAGCCGACGCGGGATCAGCAACCCCGAGAAGGTCGAAATGGACACCCGCATGTTTCTGGAAACATGCTTTCTGGAAACTTAGTACCTTTTTGCAGAAACATTTTGTTTTCAGGAAAATAAATTGGCTTTTCAGCTATAAGTTTCGTGAAAGGCTACCCCTGAAAGGGTTGTTGCCGAATTCGTCAAACTGTACCTGAAGGGTTCCTGCGATGGTTTCTGGAAGGGTTTGTTTTAGGTGTCCTGGAAGGTTCCTAAGAGGGTCGGGCATCTTCAAAAGGCGCGTGAAAGGTGGGGAAAGGGTCCAGATACTGAAGGGCCAAACGTCTCAGGTGTTTCGGAAGGTTCCTGAGAAGGCCCGGGTTGGAGCTTCTGAAAGGCTCCCTGAATCCATCCACTCAAATCAACAATTCCTGAAACAATCTGAAACAACCCTCATATCTCCGAATTCCAGAATCCATCCACTCAACTCCAGAGTTCCTGAAACAATCCACCCTCCACTGAACACAGCCAGAATCCAGTCAGCCAAATCAACAACTCTGGAAAAATCAACCCGCAGCGACCGCACTGTGCGTTGCGCAGCTTGTGATCCCAGTTGTACTGTTTTCTGCTGAAATCCGACAAGCATCGACAAGCCTGCAAAAACAATTGGCTGCATGAACTTCCACAGGTTTCAGGAAAGCCCTCTGGCGTCAAGACTGGCCCGGATCTCCCAGATTCTCGCACGCACACCGCAGCTATTTTCTTTCATATCCGCTCCGCGTGCCTCAGAGGGGCGCACCGTCCTCAAAGGTTTCTCAACGTGTTACTCTGAAAGGGTTCCTGACACTGTTCCCCAGATGTCTCTGCAGTGATTTCTGGAGAGAGCGTCCTGGGTGTTTTGAAGGCGGAAGCGGTTCCTCTAAAAGGGTTCCTGCACAGTTTCTGTGATGGTTTCAGGAAAGGTTCCTCTGCAAAGGTTTCTGGACAGATCCTCCCCGAAGCATGCCAAGCTCCGAGCCTTCCCTTCATCATCCTCGGCATCCTCACCATCTGTCACCTGCAAACAGCAAGAAAATCAACTCAATTTAAGCTCGGGAATACATTTTATCTTCAGTAACCACGATGCGGAAAAACTGGGTTGTGTCTGAAGGCTCGGTCTCAGAGATGAACCAAAAAAACGGCAAGAAGTTTCTGAAGCCCATTCAGGGTTGCACTCCGGGTTGCTCTATCCCACAACTTCCTCAACCTCGTTTGACTCGCCAACGGGAGCAAAATTGCTTCAGCCAAGCGTGTCGTGAACACAACGTGACGGACGTGAAAAGCCTGTGAAAAAAACAGGGAGAAGCCCGTGGCTTCAGGAACCATCGGCTCCCCGCCTCCTTTGCTTCGCTTTCACTATCTGCCATGCCCTGTCGAGTTCGCGCGTGTAAGGAGCATGCTTCCCGACATGGCTGGCATTTCAAAGGCTCCCAACCATTTTTCCGAGACGGTTTCTGGAAAGTATTCCTATTGAGGGTTCCTGAAAATGTCTGATAAGCATGCTAAGGTTGCCTGCAGGGTTCGTGAGGTTCCCGAAAGGGTTTCTCGAAGGGCTCTTCAAAAGTTCCTGAGCTTCGTCTGAAAGTCTGAAAGAGCTCCTGCAAGGCTCCTGAAACTGTTCCCAAGAGGTTCCTGCAAGGGGCCGTGTTTTCCGGAAAGGGTTCCTCTGAAAGGGTTCCTGCAAGGGTTCCGGAACAGTTCGTGACAATCTGCAGAGTTTCTTGAAATATGCTCTCAGCTCAGTACGATTTCGGCCCTGCCGATCCTCACGCAAGAAAGCAGCTCAACTCAGAATGTCCGGTACCCGGCACCCGCTTGAGCATACATGCCAGCCGGGTCAAGGACCGAAATCAGGTACCTGATCCGAGGTACCTCACAGCCTTTCCTCAAACCACCCAGCCTTTCCTAAAATGATAGAGTCTTTCCTAAAACAACCTAGCCTGTCCTGAAACCAACACCCAGCCTGAAACCAGCACCCAGTTTTTACTGAAACCACCAACCTTCCCTGAAACCAGCACCCAGTCTTTCCTGAAATCACACAGCCTTCCCTGAAGCACCCAGTCTTTCTTGCAATCACACAGCCTTCCCGGAAACCACGCAGCCGGAACCACCCCAGACTTTCCTAACACCACCAAACCTTTCCTGAAACCAGCACCCAGTCTTTCCTGAAATCACATAGCCTTCCCAAAATCAGGTACCTGATCCGAGGTAGCTGACCCAGGTACCCGACTTAATCTCTGCCGAACCTGACTCAACCAACTCCTGTGTAAACATCTGATGACCTAAACGTGTCAAACTTGTAGGCTCTATCATGTAGATAGGCTCAAGGCCTTGATGTACAAAGGCCAGGGTCATGTACAAGGATGGATTGTTAGCTCAGCACACTTTGCCAAAATTGTACAACTGTCCTTGTTGATCAGGATGATGTAAGAAAACCGCTGCATGTGTAAACTGATAGCCAGAAAGCAGGTGTAACTATACATCGATGTCCTTCGCTGTCGGACCAATTGTACCACGAATTACGGTGTGCCATTGTGGCAAGATGTACTTGATGTACTCAAGCACTGTCGCCCCTGATCTTCTTTTTGTTGAGCAGCTTGTGTCCTTGGTGTTGTGACAAAATCATAGCGCTGTCAACCTCCTGCAAGCTTTGGTCGCTGTACCCAATCTGTCCGGGTATCAGGCCCGTGCTGCTTCCCATCAGCTGTACTCCATGTTGAACAATGTACTCAATGACCATTGTCTTCAACGGCTCCGAGATGGTCTGCGCTGCAGGGTATGTATGGTGGCTCAAAGCCATCGAGAAACCTGCATGGATCCTGTCAAGGAAATCCTTTGTGTTCAGTACCTTCTTAATGGGGGTAATGATGTGCTGAAGGATGATGTGCCCAGTCAGCTTGTAGTTTTCGTTCCCAGACGCCCGTTCTGTAGGTGTCAAGTTCCATGCACACTCCTTGCGCAGCTGTAAAACCTGTCCGATGTACCCGCGGTTGAAAACTGCAATCTTCTTCTCATAAACCTTCTGAAACAGTTCTGCTGTCTGTAGGCTGAGCTTGTACACAAAGAATGTGCCCGCGTCAACTGTGCCGTCATGGCCCTGGTGTATCAACCAGCTGATGTAGCCCAGGAAGTCCATGATGCTGTACAACATGCCGACAAAACCCAATGTAGGGCATCGCATGTAGCCCGGGATCTTTTGCACCTGATCCTGCTCTGTTGTAACAGTTGCTGTCATGAAGTTGTACTGCTCCACTGTAAGCGGGATCAACACCGTGGTGTAGTTCTGAGGCTCCTCCGGTGTTGTAGGAACGATGACATCCACCGGCTCCAATGTCAAACCATCATCTGTGGATGCAGAGTCTTGTATGCGCGATGTGCCATTGATGTAAAAGCCGAGGGTCTAAGGTTCCTGTAGACCTCAAAATGTAAATGGCTGCAGCATGTACCAAAACCCAAAACACTGTTTGAGACATGTGCAAGCTCACATGCAAATGTAGCTCCCAAAAGATGTTTGGAAAAGATGTAGCGGTCGTAAAGACAGGGTCGATCCATGGCTGATGTATCTACCCTAAAAGATGTAACTACGCCGGCTGTTAAGTGGTAAAACAAACATGTGTGAACTGTGCACCTGTTGTTTAACCACCTGTGCTGACTACTGCACTCGCTGGTGTGAAACTGTTGTGGTCCTCAAAGGCCAACGTTGTACAGGTGTTTGCTGAGTGTGTCGCTGCCAACAAACTTGGTAAGAATGTCGGCTGTGTTGTCTTCTGACTTTACCTTGCGCATGGTGATGATTTTGCTTTTGACAAGTTGTTGTACGAAGAGGTGTCGCAGGTCGATGCGCTTTGCTTTCTTTGATGCGGCTTCTCTCATTGCTATTGACTTTGCTGCGCTGCCGTCTGTGTGTACCCTGATGTTGGTGCGTACTTCAAATGCTTCCTTGATGAAGTTGTTGATGTAGAGGCTCTCCTGTGCTGCTCAATCGCGTACAGCTCTGGTTCTGCTGATGAGAGTGCTGTTGTTGCTTGTGTTCTGCTGCCATAATGTACTGCTGCTCCAAAGAAGTCCTGTTGATTGCTCTGACTGTTTCAACAGTCTGTTGTATGCTGGGTCTTGTAATCCCAAGTATGCTGTCATCTTGAACTTCCATTCTTCGAAGGTGTTGTATCCTCCTGTGAACCGCGGTGGTGATATCTTGTATCTGTGGATTCCTTCTAACTGCTGTTGTTCCTGTTGCTGCTGTTGTTGTGACGTGTCGCTCACTACTGTGTACCTGAACCTGTGGGTGTGTGGTGGAGCTCACCCTGGGTTGTGGTGGAGGATCGTGTACCAGGGATCACTGCTCCGCTACACTGTTAAAGTGGAACTAACTGTGTAAACACCTGATGACCCAAACGTGTCAAACCTGTGATGTGTCAGCGCGGCACTTGTTGTACTCAGCGGGCGAGGGCTGTAGGCTCTATCATGTAGATAGGCTCAAGGCCTTGATGTACAAAGGCCAGGGTCATGTACAAGGATGGATGTACATTAACATATATATATATACATATATATATATATATATTTGGCTGTGGCTCAATCAAATGTACCCGAGATGCCTGTGTGTATGGAAAACCAAAGCCTCAAACCTGCGAAGCCCCAGCTGGGGGGCGCTGGGGCGCTGACAGGCCACCAGCTCCTCGAGCGGCATCACCTCCAGCTAAGGCTTGGTTGCGTTGAGCGCCGAGATTTGGCTGTGGCTCAAACAAATCTGCGCAAAATGGCCCCGAAGTGGAGGTAAATGGAAACAAAGACCAACACCTGCGGTTTGCCCTAGCTCTTAAATTTGAGCCACACCCATTTGAGTCCCTTTTGGGTGGCACTTGAGGACCAAAGCTTCACCTTTGACAGCAGTCGGAGGCCCAAGAAAAAGATGTGGCACTTGAGTCAAAACCGTTTTGGGATCCCATTTTGGGGGTTTTCGGTGAATTTAGAACCTAGTTTAGAGATGGTTGCGAAATCCATTTCGCACCACCACCTCTGGCTTTCTGAGTGAAATGGCAGTGGTGTCAAAACCGTTTTGGGATCCCAGTTTGATGGTTTTCGGTGAATTTAGAACCTAGTTTAGAGGGGATTGGAATGGTTGAGTCAAAAATTCCGTGGATGGTTGCGAAATCCATTTCGCACCACCACCTCTGGCTTTCTTTGTAAAATGGCAGTGGTTGTCAAAACCGTTTTGGGATCCCAGTTTGATGGTTTTCGGTGAATTTAGAACCTAGTTTAGAGGGGATTGGAATGGTTGAATCAAAATACAGTGGATGGTTGCGAAATCCATTTCGCACCACCACCTCTGTCTTTGGTAGTAAAATGGCAGTGGTTGTCAAAACCGTTTTGGGATCCCAGTTTGATGGTTTTCGGTGAATTTAGATCCTAGTTTAGAGGGGATTGGAATTACAGTGGATGGTTGCGAAATTCCATTTCGCCCACCACCTCTGGCTTTCTTAGTAAAATGGCAGTGGTTGTCAAAACCGTTTTGGGATCCCAGTTTGATGGTTTTCGGTGAATTTAGAACCTAGTTTAGAGGGGATTGGAATGGTTGAGTCAAAAAACAGTGGATGGTTGCGAAATCCATTTCGCACCACCACCTCTGGCTTTCTAGTAAAATGGCAGTGGTTGTCAAAACCGTTTTGGGATCCCAGTTTGATGGTTTTCGGTGAATTTAGAACCTAGTTTAGAGGGGATTGGAATGGTTGAGTCAAAAATTCCGTGGATGGTTGCGAAATCCATTTCGCACCACCACCTCTGGCTTTCTTAGTAAAATGGCAGTGGTTGTCAAAACCGTTTTGGGATCCCAGTTTGATGGTTTTCGGTGAATTTAGAACCTAGTTTAGAGGGGATTGGAATACAGTGGATGGTTGCGAAATCCATTTCGCACCACCACCTCTGGCTTTCTTAGTAAAATGGCAGTGGTTGTCAAAACCGTTTTGGGATCCCAGTTTGATGGTTTTCGGTGAATTTAGAACCTAGTTTAGAGGGGATTGGAATGGTTGAGTCAAAAATACAGTGGATGGTTGCGAAATCCATTTTGCACCACCACCTCTGGCTTTCTGAGTGAAATGGCAGTGGTGTCAAAACCGTTTTGGGATCCCAGTTTGATGGTTTTCGGTGAATTTAGAACCTAGTTTAGAGGGGATTGGAATGGTTGAGTCAAAAATTCCGTGGATGGTTGCGAAATCCATTTCGCACCACCACCTCTGGCTTTCTTGTAAAATGGCAGTGGTTGTCAAAACCGTTTTGGGATCCCAGTTTGATGGTTTTCGGTGAATTTAGAACCTAGTTTAGAGGGGATTGGAATGGTTGATCAAAATACAGTGGATGGTTGCGAAATCCATTTCGCACCACCACCTCTGGCTTTCTTAGTAAAATGGCAGTGGTTGTCAAAACCGTTTTGGGATCCCAGTTTGATGGTTTTCGGTGAATTTAGAACCTAGTTTAGAGGGGATTGGAATGGTTGAGTCAAAAATACAGTGGATGGTTGCGAAATCCATTTCGCACCACCACCTCTGGCTTTGATAGTAAAATGGCAGTGGTTGTCAAAACCGTTTTGGGATCCCAGTTTGATGGTTTTCGGTGAATTTAGAACCTAGTTTAGAGGGGATTGGAATGGTTGAGTCAAAAATACAGTGGATGGTTGCGAAATCCATTTCGCACCACCACCTCTGGCTTTCTTAGTAAAATGGCAGTGGTTGTCAAAACCGTTTTGGGATCCCAGTTTGGGGGTTTTCAGTGCACCACCCAGTTTAGAACCTATTTTAGTGGGGATTGGGATGTTGACTGGGGGATAACCGGGATTTGGACCCATGGCCATGTGGCAGTGGTCAAAAAATAGGGCAACCCCCAAAAAAGCTGCCCTGGTAAGTGGAAACATGGAGTAGAACCTGCTTCCAATTCCTGGTGGCAATTTTGACCCATACCAAACTGGACATGTCATGAACCCACTTTCATCGACACCAAACCGGATTGACGGTTTTCACAACACCCAACACCAAAATGACTCAACTCAACAAATAGTGAATTTCTTCCGCGGATTGGACCCAAACAGCCTGGAGGATGCAAGAACCTGTATCTACTGTTGGGGGGAAAGGGGAAGCGGCGTCGAACGATTTTCGGTACACTTCCCTTAGTTTCAGGACACATTTTGGCAACACATGCCAATGGCGAGTTATATTTGGGGGCTTCTTTGATTCCTTTATTCCACTTTGAGATATCGCATTTCGTCACTTTCCGGGTGTCCAAAAGGTCCCTGTAGCAAATACTTTGCTTCATGGAAGTGGACAGGCTGCTAGAAGACTATACCATCCGAAAAACTCAAAACGCGTCTCCACTATGATCAAAGGTGAGCATAGATGTCTTTTGGGAAAACAAATGGATTTCCCTGGTAGATGGTGGTTTACCCGGTCAACCAGTCGAATCGCCGTCGATGTTTGACCACCGAAAATCTAGGGGTACCTTCCCCATTCTTTCCAGGTCCGGATCTTTCTAGAAAACCTCCGGAAACTCAGGGAAAACGGCCGGTTTTTGGAAAGAACGATGGTTGAAAACAATGGGGAGTCAACCCCTAGAAAACAAAAAGCACACCGGCGTTCGATCTCGAGGATTTCGCCTCCAAGTCAAAGGTGCCCTCCACTCTCTTGAAGAGGCGCTCGATCACCCTGTCGCCCTCCTCCGCGGACAACCTGAAGCTGTCAGCTGCGTCATGTCTAGGTCCTCCAGTAGAGAGGTCAGGGCTTAGGGTACCCACTTTTTTCCGCACGTCTATTTTAGTAGGGGAAGCCGCCCCAAAAAAAGGGTGCGAAAGGGCACTACTGGGGGACCTAGGTGTGCGTCTGTTTCTTGTCTGCCACTCACTTTTCACCTGGTTGCAGTCAAGTACTCAAACAACATGTCCGCCGCGCCAAGAACTGGTCTGCCCCGACGTAACTTGGTCCCCGAGGCTCCAAGGATCCCGAAACAAAGCTGTCCACTCTATCAGAGGCACAAGGAATCAAATTGTGACCGCCGCTCGAGAGATGGTGTCATTCATCATTCTAAGAGGGGAAAACCACTACCCCCCGGCAAAAGGGTTTGTGCCCCACTTAAACAGTAATTGTCATTCTTTTGTTGCACACCCGATTTCCCCTGCGGATAAGGGTTTGGGAGTCGTGGAAATCCTCCAGCATCACATGGTGAAGTCTTGTGGGGCCACTGTGCCATGACTGCACAGCACCGGCTGCCCTGCGAGTTGTGGAAAACAACAACTCGCTTGCCGTTGATTTAGGACGACCTGGGCGCAGGACGCCCGGTTGAAGTACAGCACGATGCCCCCTTCACGCAAGAGCCACAGCCTCGCTGGACTTTGAGGAGCCAAGAAGCCTTCGGCCGCTGAACCTCTCAAGCTGGCAGAAACCTTCTAACCCCAAAATTCCAACTGTGGATGGACAAAATCCCGCAGTCGGAATGAATGGAACCCTATTGGAAGAAGTGTGCTCTCAACTGGTGCGAAATGGATTTCGTCCCACAGAATGATTCTCCCTGACCCGAGGATCCAGATTCCAGCACTTCGTCGCTAAGGCGGTCACGCGTTGTGCAGCCACTTCAGCTGCCGCCTAGGCTCATGCCAAAATATTCAAAACCCCCTAGAAAAAGACTTGTGGCTCGTGAATCGGAAAGCACCCCTCCCAAGACAAAGAAGGTCAAACCGAATTGCACTGCGGGTCTCCTGATCATGTACGTGAGCCATAGGATCACGACAAAGATTAGCATCGAGCATTAAATGGATGAGAAGAGCAGAGATGTAAAGGGATGCCTTCATTCACCTCTCCATCATATTGTCTGTCCTCGTCCTTTTTTTCATGTCTTGAAAAAGGATGACAGACAATAAAGAAGTGAGCCAGATGTACGCCCTCCCTTGCCCTCATGTCCAGCCATGAGCGCAGGGGAGAGTCAACAGCAAAAACAACAAGTCGTGAATCCTGTTGACGAAGGAAGAGGAAATCGATGATGGTCGAACCGTCCCGATCTAAGGCGACATGGCATATCAAAACACGGCAGGTTGGACGCAACCCTCGTTGAGGACCCTGCTCGGCGCTGACCTCGTGCCAGGAGGACTGATTTGGCACGGTGCTCCAAACAAGTGCCAGTAAGAATCAAGAATGCAGGTCAATCGTTTACTCTTTTCGGGGCACGCGGGGACAACACACACCCAGTGAGTCCGTGGGCAGTGAATGCCAACGAATGCGCCTGTTGCCGTGAAACTCTCAGATTCATTTGAGGTTCGGTCAAAATGTCGGGTAGTCTATGGTCCTTCTTGGAAGGGACATAGGTGGACGAAAGTACCCAGAAAAACAGGGGACTCGCTGAATAACATTGTCATGTCTTCCTGTTGGGGAACAAGGATTCTGACCACGGCTCGGCCCTGAAATGGTCTTCGTCTGGTGCTTCTTTCAAGCGCACGCGGTGACAAGTCTCATGGGAAGATTGCCTTGCGCATCGGCATCCAAAAAGATCCTGGAATGCCTTTCAACAATCAAACCACCCGGCCGCAGGCCTATGAAGCATACCCGAACAGCCCCCCGCAGCAGAGGCCCGCAGCAACAAGCAACAAGCAAAGAACCTTCGCATCGCCAGAGATCCACGCAACGCAAGATTTCAAGGGCTGGACAGCGTGGAAACGGCCACAGCAATGTGTACCAAAACGGGCTCGACCCTTTTGGGAACAGTTCTGGGGAATGAAGACACAACATGAACCAGCTGAAAGGGAATAGTTTTCGCCGATACTCATAAGCGGAAACCTGAATTTACAGACTTTGTTTCAACATACTTGAAGCTAAGCAAGGAAGCTGTACCCCACGTCCGCTTCCTGGGCATCTTGAAGGCTTTACAGGGCCAGCCCTCCATATTTGCCGAAAGGATGCACAGCAACCACGCCACGTTAGGACCCTCCTGTTAAACCGAATCAGGCCTTTGCCAGCTGGGTGATGATGGGTCCTTCCAAAAAAGCTCTGGCTCAAACAAAGGTACCCGAAATGTCATGGTATGCGGAAACAAAAACACCGTACCCAGATGTAGAGCTCCGCAAACCTGCCCAAATGCCCAGAGTGCCTACTTACCCTCCTTTCAGGCCTCTAGTGTTTCATTTCCTTGCTACTTTTGGCGACACCCACTAAAACCAATTGGACCCAAGAGTCTAAACATGAACATGGAGGTTGAAGGAACCATGATACTACTTCCGTTCTGCACCCAACCTCTTCAAAATGGTCTTGATGCGCAACCTTTCTACTTTGTCCCGGGTTCAACGTTCTTCCGGGGTCAACATCAGGGTGAACTACTGTGGATGGTGGTGAAATCCGTCTCGCACCGGGCCCCAAGGAAGCCTTTCTGATTCCAATGTTAAAACCAGGTTTCAACATGATTGCCCTGGAATTATTCCGGGGGAACCATGATTCCCCAACATAAACACCAACAAAAGTTCCGGTTTCAACCGCGGTTTCAAACCCTGCAATAATTCGATTGAGTAAAAACCATCACGTGGTTTCAACCATGGTTTCAAGCCCTGGTTTTTGATGCTTCAGCTGGTTTCAACACATGGTGTCCACCATGGCTTCCTTTCGCGCTTCAGGGCTTTCGCAATCATCCATTTGTTTCTTCGCCCCCTGGACGATTCCCTGTAGCACCAACAAGGGGGAAACAAAACGATATCCCGTTCAAAGGTGGTTTCCCATTTACCCACACGAACCACGGCTCCAACTTGAAGCTAATGAAGGTGCAGTGCTTCGGAAAAACCAGTTAGCCTTGAGCATTCGAGTGCCTCCATTTCAGGTAAAGCATATTCTCAAATGCAGATGAGCGAGCGGCAAAACCTAAAACTACTTTGGGCGATTTCGAGCAACAAGTTATCGTTTTTGGGGTTTCGTCGTTCTCCAATGTTGCAGCCACTTGCGTCTTTATGCCACGGAAGTGTAACGGGAAGAAAAGGAAAAGAAAGCAGGAAGAAGCTGTTATCGCTTTTGGGGTTTCGCTATAGGAATCGTTCCGGAGGCCTGGTCCAACTCTGGTCAAATTTTCTACAAACCACTCAAACCCCACTTCCCATCTAGAAACCAGCAAAAAATCCCAACACAACCTGTCCAACTCCCGTCACATCCTGTGAACCCCCCCTAAAACCGGCCAAATTCCCCTTAAAACCGGCCAAATCCCTCCACTCCAGAAACCAATAAATCCCCAATAGAAACCGTGGAAACCGGTCAACTTTGAGAAAAAAACCGGTCCAACTCCAGTCAACCCCTCCTAGAAACCGGAAAAAACCCTGTAGAAGCCAATCAAATTCCCTAGAAATGTGCACCTTCGCTTGGCCCAAGCCCGCTGCCATTCTGTACCGCTCTGCGGCTCTCGTTCCGGCCCTTGAAGCCATGTGGAAACGTGTGGCCTTTCACCCACCCCCTACCTTGGAAACCAGCTCGCGCATCTCGGTGCCGACTCACTCACTCTAACAAACATAACACTTCCAGGCAAACCAAAACACGGTCAAAAACCTCAAAGCCAGCCAAAAGCGGACTGGCCAAGGGTACTTGAGTCACAATCAAAACCTGGTACAAAAATGGTGAACCCAGAACCATGCTTCAAGAAGTAGAAAGGCGGATATCCGCAACTATTTCCGGCTGGGACTGCCCCTTACTAACCTTCATCTACCCGAACCGGTTTTGAGCACGTGGCTCACTCCGTGTGGACGCACCTTCCATGCTCGCTCGCTCGCGATCCAACTCGCTTGGCGATCCAACTCGCTTGGGCCCGGCCTTGGCCGTGGCCGCGGACCAGGTGCGCGATGCACCCGCGCCGCGGAGGAGCGCCTTGTCGTCGGTGCAGGGGGCGCCCAGCAGAATCTTGTCGTAGGGCCCCAGCCTGAACGGGGGAGGTCTCAGACCCAAAAAACGACGGGAGGTCAGGACGAGCTTTGCACCGGCCTGGACACTTCAAGTTCCTCCAGATTTGAGAGGTTAGAACAAGCCGGTACCCGACTTTTTTCTTCTGTCTGTTTTGGTATGGGAACCCTCCCAACCAAAACAGCGGAGAGAAAGGGCACTACTGGACCTAGAAAAAACACGCCGTGGGGCGCAGGGGACTGGGAGCCGTGCACCAGAGAAAGCAGGAGAATCCCCCCAAGCTTTGAGCCAAAGCTGCTTTTTTTGTTGGGGGGACTTGAACCTTGTCATCTGTGGGAGCAACCTCCTTGGAAGAAAAAAAGGTATCCACTTGGGGCTTAGCACCCCATGGAAACGGGCGAAGAAATGGGAATCCAGGGAAGACGTGAAAGATCCATTTCCCCAAAAGTTCCCCTGGCTCCCAACTTGGGGGGGTGTTTTGCTACAAATGTAGTCGCACAAATGCCCAAAGGATTCTGATTTCCGGAGGGATCTGTCAGGTACATGGCCATGTGAAAAAGGCAGAGGTGGAACGCCAGCACTGCGTAGCACTGCGTAGCACTGCGTGTCTCAGTTCCCGTGTCACCAATTGAAACCAGGCGGGCTGAGTGTGACTACTGTGGATGGACGAAATCCTGCACCACCTAAGAAACCCTGGAATGATGATTCCCCTGTAAAAACCAAGAAACAATGGTTTCCATGGTTTCCAAGTGGTGCAGGATTTCGTATGTGTCAGGTTGTTCTAACCATTGCTCATGGAGCAGCAAGCCAATGGCCATGGCTGGGCGCAAATGGCAGTGTTTCCCCAAGGTTCTTGTTTGTTCATTGACCCTTCGTGCTGCCAACATGGTTAAAAAGGTCTACAAAGACCCTACTATAATCACCATAAGAAGAGGTAGTGCTGTTGGAATTTGGTGAGCCGCCCCGACTCATGTCAGGCGTTGAAATGCCCAGCTTTGCCCTCCCACGATCTGGTTGCAACACACCAGCTTCACCCCAAAAACACCCCACTCTGTTCAGCGGAGAGTCACAAACGTTTCGTCTCCGGCCGCGCCGTGCTCTCTTCTGCATCTGTTTGCTGTGATCGTGCTCGCGGATGTGGTTGGCAAACCCGCAATCTGGCTCTGCCCTTTTGCAGCCCGCCTTCAGCAGTAGCACGTCGGATCTGTATGACATGAAGTATTTGGTATTTGCTCAAGAGAGGCCGCTAGTTCCAAAGGACTCTCCAAATCTTCGTCCACCAAACAGCCTTGCTGCGGCAAGAGGCTGCAGTCCGCAACATGCTTGAATTCATGCCCCGGGCTACATGTCTGTCTCAATTTTAACAAGCGACCGTTTGGTGGACATGATTCAGGATTCAGGTTCACCAACAATTTTGTGCTTGGTTTCTCATAGCAAAAAAGATATTTGAGGTCTGTTCGGGGGACGAAGCAGCTTCTTCCGGCCCTTGAAATGTCTCAGGGGCGACGTTGGACCTCAATTGGCTTCAGTAAAAATGCTTCGGCCGGGCGGTGCAGCAAGCTTCTATTACAAGATGCTTGCCAGCAGTGACAGTGGTCCTTGTCACCGTCCAATCCTATTCACTGGTTTCACTTTGGAGTCTACACAAATGGCTGTGGCTCAAAAAACCGGTACCAAAATGGAACCCTGGTAAGTGGAAACATGGACCAAAACCCGCGTAACCCCTCCTGTTTATTTTTGAGCCACAGCCAAATGACAAGCAGTGGTTGATTCAAACAGGAGTGCGGCTTGTCTGGTTCCCGGCTTCGACCAGGTGATTCAGCCTGCCATGTCTTTGGTGGCGCCGTGATTTGTCAGCAACACGACGCACAAAGCCAAAGATTCCGCCAGCAGGCCCCGCAAAAAATGCACTTAAAAAGTTTACAGACCAAGGCTGCATCGCGAAGCATCATCAACTACCGAGCTACTGAAGCATCATGCTTGGCATGCTTGGCATGCTTGGCCACCCGCATGACAGCGCACAAAGGCCATTGCCACCGCCGAATCTGAATTACTAGTCTTCCATTTGGTTAAGGCCCCAGGAAACAAAAATCCAGTAGTGATGAATTCCTTTCAAAACCAACAAGGGAAAATAACACATATTCTGAAGCAAATGGAGGTAGTTTGAGTTTAGATCAAGACGTGAAGTCCTTGATTGGGGTTCAACCACCAGGTCCCCAACTTGCATCATGTTGCGACGGCTGGCCCAGAATTAGATGTACAAAAAGCCAGTTGGGTTGCGGCCAGGCACTGCCAGGCCTGCCATACATTTGGCTTAAGTGTTCATCTTGTGACTGCTGCAGTAGTCATCAACACAACCAGAGTTTTGGCCAGGAGGCCCAAGAAATGCGTTTAAGTAGGCTTGACAAAGGATGCATCTCGAATACATCTCTCAGCTACTGAAGCATCCTGCTAGGCCACATGCATGACAGCTTGTGCCAAGTCTAAATAACTAGTTTGAGTTCAGATCACGACTACGCGCAGTCCTTGAGGCTTCAACCACCAGGTCGGTCCCCAACTTGCATCATGTTGCGACGGCTGGCCCAGGAATAGAAGTACAAGAAAAGATCTGGGCAAGCTGGGCCGGGCATGGCACCATATCTTCGGCTTAAGTGTTCATCTGTGACTGCTTTGGTCATCATCAACACAAACACACACACACACAGACACACACACACACACACCAAGCCAGAGCCCGAGTTGCCCTATCCCATTGGATTGGCTGCAGCTGCCGGTTCTTGCGCTGTTTCATCTCGCGCTCGGTGCAAAGGTGGCAATGGGTGCAAGAGTCCCCCATGCGGCAGCCATCTGCCTTACGATACAGGAAGATGCATGGCTTGCATTGGCCCGTGCGGTGGAGATACACACTCCGCAGCTCCTCCCAAGGCTTCAACCAGCCGCCCACCGACGGAGCGGAGATGTTGCGGGTGAGACGCGTCATATACATGACATGCGGTTGACCCTCTTGCAGGCCAGTGGGTAAGGGTTCGATGCTCACTGAGCAATTTCTCACTGCCACGGCGTAGAGTGCACCTTGCCTCTCCATGGTGTACATGATGCTCCTACGGATGCCCGGCAGTACCGAGCCAATAATCTGAGGTTTTTTGTATTACACCCTGGGATTACACCCTTAGGAAATGACCCAGGATGGTTCAACATGACACGGTTTTATCCGGAAATGTGCCTAAATGGGGTCAATGCCCAGTGGGTGTATTCCCAAGGTGTAATACAAAACCCTTTGAAATAAACGCACGCACACACACACACACACCACAAAGAGATAAGAGCCAAGCATGAGACCTGTGGGTTGCCAGTCAAGAACTCTGGCCAAGGGGGTTGTTGTTGCAGTAACAAACGATGTGATAGCCATTGGCGAGTCAGGCCGGGTTGGTTCTGTAGCCAGGAAACACCACCCTCCGAAGTTCTGTTTGGGCACATGAGTTTTGACTCCAATCACCCAAACAACACAACTAGGTCCTCCAATAGAGAGGTTAGATAAGGGTTCCAACTTTTTTGTGTAGTCTATTTTAGTAGGGGAACCCTCCCCCAGAAAAAAAAGAAGGGCAAAAGCACTGGGGGACCAGCTTCGCTTTATGAAGCCTAAAGACAAAATATGTTGGGCTCGCATTGCGATTATTTGCTTAAAACCTGTCAAACAAGCACCCCAAAACGATCAGCCAAGGATATCCTCCAAAACCAGCCCCATATAGCTTATGAAGTTTGGCTCTCCTGACAATGGATATTGACACGGGCGCATTCCAACAGTAGTGTTGCCCCCAAGAAGAGCCCATCTCGAATTTTCGCACACAAAACGTGAATTAAAGCTGAGGTCTGGGTCACTTCCTACCTGATCCTACAAGTCAGGAGTATTGCTAGACTTTCTGGAGCCCAACTCCATGCAATTGGACTGGGTCGGTGTATGGAACACTGTCTAGGTCCAGAGAGGTTAGAAGGCACCAACTTTTTTCTGCCTGTAGCAGGGGACCCCTCCCAACCTTCGCAGCTTTTTCCCTGCCCGCTGCCCGCTCCTTTCGGTCGTCATAATTTATGGTTTTTTCCCCTCGCCGCCAGAACGAGTTTTCAGACCGAGGGCGGCTGGAGCCCAAGCGGAGCGAGCGAGATCCGGCGCCAGAGATCTGGGGCCAATGACATTTGGCTGTGGCTCAAAAAACCGGAATTCCAAAATGGAACCCTGGTAAGTGGAAACCTGGACCAAAACCTGCGTAACCCCTCCTGTTTAATTTTGAGCCACACCCATTTGGCCATGGGGCTTCTCAAAAACCAAATTCCGTAGCCTCAGTGAACGGGACCCGATACCACTAAAATAGAGAAACATGGGTTGCACTTACCCCACAATGGGATCCCATTGGTTTTGACCCACAGCCATTTGAGTCACAATCAAAACCCGGTACAACAATGGTCGACCCAGAATGCTTCAAGAACTAAGAAGCCGGAGATCCGCAGCTATTTATGGCTGGGATCGCCCCTTACTAAACTTCACTTACTTCACCTCAGTTGTTCAGTGACCCTGGAAAAAAAGGGAACCCTTTTTGGGGAAGACCACTTTTAGTGGGGCAGCCACCAAAAAAATGGAAAAAGGGTGCCACTGAACAACTGAGTCACTTACCCGGGTTTTGATTGTGGCTCATTTGGGTGTTCCCGAACATTGAATTGAGCTTTCTGGTATTTCACGAGACAAGGAAACCAACCATTCTGGCCGGCCAGTGCCAATGCCAAAACGCGTCTCAATTGCAAGGCCCATGTTTAAAATAACTCCCTTTGGTTTAATTTGGCTCCCTTCTTGCGAAATCTTTGGACCATACATAAGCCTCTCAGTCTGACCTTTCCGTATGCACCCAGAAGCCCCCGAAAAAGGAAGAAGCTGAATTATCACCAGCCATTGGCTGAATTGTGGGAAACCAGCTCAAGGGGATGCCGGCAAAACATGTCAAGTGAAAGGGGAACCAAAATGAGACTTTGAGGACCCCTCTCTTCTCATCCGTGTAGATATGCCCTATGGCAATATCTAGCGGTCCCTAACCAACTTGCAGGTGGAAAGCTGTGAAGCAAAATGACACCATTGCTGTGCTCCAATATATTCCCGAGTGAAACTAGGTCCTCCAGTAGAGAGGATAGAATACGGGTACTCTTTTTTCTGTAGTCTATTTTAGCAGGGGACTACTGGGGGGGACCTAGGAAAGGTTACACGGAGCCAAGAAATCCGAGGAATGCCGTGCCTGCAATTGCGCCCGTCTTGGTCCATGATTGATGCATTCGGACGGCCCTAGTTGGTTCACTTGGAGGCCTCAAAAGACAAAACATACCCTGAGATGAGATTGGTGGCTTTGGCCCCAAACCACCAACCGACATGAAGCGCAGGGGGTACTTCCCCAACTTGAGGAAAAAGTGGCGGACTGAAGCGATTTTTTCAGGATAGGCTCATACGCTCCTTCCACCCCGCAAGTTAACATGGAGCCGAAAAAGAGGTGGCCTCCAAGTCTGATGGACTTTGGGCGTCAATAAATCAAAGGGGACGGCAGCCATTTTCAGCTGGACAATGTCGCGCCTCTCCGCCGCGTTGGAGGGCGTGGCCATGTCCACGGAAGTGAAAACCTCAGAATTTGAGAGCTGGGGATCGCCTCGCAGCTACGACTTGTCTTTTCCACCGCCCGGAGCGCGCGCGCTTCCCAACAAAGCAAGAATTGATCTGCAACCAAGTTTCCAAAGTTTGGCAGGTCCGACCATGACCCTACAGTGTCCCAAACATGGTTGCGCCCCCCGGTTTTTCGTAACCACTGAGCCCTTAGTTGGTCATTGCCCAAAATTCAGGAGTGGACCCATTTTTTAAGGGTCATGGAGACTCTAGGTGGAGATGAAAGCGATCTATCAGCCGGCTGAGGCTCTCAGCCACTCGGGGGCCATGCCCGGCAATACTGGCCTCGCAGGGCCACATTTTCGCGGCTGAAACTGCGAAGCCCTGCTACAAGCGACTAACTTTTAGTTGTGTAATGCGGAAAAATCATTAGTTGGCAAAAAGTTAAAGTCTTAACATCCAAGCAAAATGCACCAAAGCTTTTGTACCTCCGGATGGGTGTGGGCTTTGTACAGATGCAATCCGCGGACGCCTTTCGGACAACAAAAAACACCGATGAGAAAACAACAACATGCCGTCGAACCTGGGCATGGCCGCAGTTTCGGCCTCTGAAACGGGGTGGGTCTGATTTTTTTAGGGACCCTTTGATACCCTTTGGTGGACATCATTTAGGTGGGGATCCATATCCACCAACCACTTTGGAGGGGTTCCCTATTAAAATTCGTAGCCGGGTTTCGGCAGTAGCGCTTGAACGAGACGACGCAACAGGTCGAGTCAGTCGTGCGCCTGGGTGTCAAAGAGTCGCCACGGCACCAGCGAGCGCCTGGGTAGACAAAACAAAATGGGCCAGTTCCGTTGATCAAGGGTTCTTATACTATCCATCTGATCCTTACTCCCCCCCCCGAAATAAAGAAGTGGAATAGGTACTGATTGAAATGGCCAAGTTGGGGGACCCCCCGCCCCCAACACAATTGGGCTGTCCTTTGGGCATTCACCCCAAAAAAGGGGTACCACCTCAAAGAAAACACAAAGTTTCCGCACCCCACTCGGGCCTGAGGCCCGGTTTGGGGCCCCGGCAGGATCGCTTGCAGGGTCTGGGCTTTGGCTTTCACCATCTGAGTCCATCCCGCGGCCCGGAAGGCGCCGCTTTTCGCGAACCGAACGGAGACCCAAAGGCGCCCAATCGGTTGCAAACAGAGGAAAACAAAGCAAAGGCAACAAAGAGTATTAAAAAAAGGGAAAAGTGGAGTACATAGGTGGCTGAACTGGTTGAAAACCTAGGAAATTCTGGTTGCCAAACATACGACCACTTCATTGCCACGTTTTTTTTTTTTGGGGGGGGGTAGTCAAACATGTAACCATACCCCTCCCCAAAAGCACTTGGGCTCTAACATCACTGGAGTTGACGTCTCAGTCGCGCACTTCATTGCAGACCAGCTTGCCTTGCAAGTTCTGCGGCCTCGCTCAGCTCGGGCTTCCCAAATGATATTTTCATCGGCCATTTGCTCCCCAGATGAACATGTAACCCTCGCCAAGTCTTCTAAGGGTTGCTTCCTTTTCCATTTCCAACCATCGTTCTTTTCGAGGCCATTTCCCTGGGTTTCAAAGGAGGTTTTCTAGAAAGATCCGGATCCCTGGAAAGCATGGAAATGGAAGGTATCGCTAGATTTCTGGGAGCTACTGCAAGGGAGCAAGAGCAAATATGCGGTTTTCTCAAAATGCCAGCCCCAGAATAGGACCGGTTCTCGGGCAAGCTCTCAGTGCATGTTTGTGTGCGCAAATGCTTTTGTGCAAGTTTCTCTGCACAAGCTCTCTGCGCGATTGTCTCTCTTCAAGTTGCTCTGTGCATATGTTTTCGCGCGGGCCAGTCTCAACACAAAGGGTCGTTCTCCACGCAACTGCCGCCAAGAGTTGCAATCGCACGCGTGCCGCGAAAAGTGGAACACATCTGAAGGTTTTGCACATTCACCATGCCAATCCGCGCAAAGGGTTGCACGCGCAAAACAAACAAAAACAAACAACAACAAACAACAAAACAACACAACCGACCCCAAGCGACCAGTTTTTGCCCAACCGGGCGCCGCGCAGAGCCTGTCCCCTGGGACAGCGCTTGAACATCCCGCCGGCCAAGACCAACCTCGGTGTCGGATCGACTTTTTGAGGGTTCTGTTTTTGGGGGTTGGGTTAAAGGCGATCAAAAGGACCACCATATGGTGGGCTGCCCTAAGTGTTTGACACGTATTTGGAGGCCAGAATTCAACTCAGGTTGACTCTTCCGGGTTCGCATGGTCTAAACCTTCTATGGACCAAAGGGAAACCTCTTGCAAAGGCCCAGAGGAAAGCGACAGATATTCTGTGTAAGTGACTCTACCATCGTCGCAAGTAAGCACAGCTGTTGGTTTGACTCTCTGTGTTTGATGAACACGACCTGGTTGCACAGAATCACCATGACGTGATCCGAGACCTTCAACCACATGGAATGTGCTTGTGCGACAGCGGCCAAGCTTCAGCTGTGTTTGTCTCTATCTGAAAGGAACAACTATTATTCATATATATATATACACGTACCTAACATAATATCAGAAAAGCTCCTTCATGACAAATTTCTTTAGCTGGTGGGGGTGAAGCAGCAGGCCACAAAGTCGCCTACTATTGGCCCAAAACAAGCCCGAAAACAATCACACCCCATGGTGTGATGCTGCACGCAGTTGCTGACCCCGGCTCAACCCCGGCGTTCGCGAAATCTCGCATTTGGGCATTGACGACGTGGTGCCGTTGGCGCAGGCGTCTAGCACGTGGTCGCCCTCCTAACCCAGAACAGCAGGACAGGCCTTTGTCAAGCAAAGAACTGGCGGCTGCGGCAAGCTGTGGCAAACGTGGGTGCAAGGTCCTTATGCAGAGAGGTTACAATAAGGGTGCCCGAGTCTTTTCTGTAGTCTATTTTAGTAGGGGAACCCTCCCCCAAAAAAGGGTAAAAGGGAACTACTGGGGGACCTAGATGAGGAATCAAACTTACGGTGAGCCTCGGCGACGTGGCAACGCCGTTTTCGAAAGGATCTATCTAGGTTCTATTTACTGTGGCCTCTAAATGACCCCTTAAACAGTTGAACAGGCTGTACTTCACCCACCAACAGGAAACTTATCGGCCCAAAAAGGTGATGCTCAACACCACCAAAGGGGATTTGTTAAACCCCGTTGAGCCCTCAGGGTGTGTGTGTGAGCTCTCCCCATACTGTGGATGGACGAAATCCATTTCGCACCACCTTCTGGAAACCCTGGTTTCTGATAACTCCCCTGTAAATACCAACACACGTTATGGTTTCATTCCCAATTCCCATGGTTTCAACCTGGTGCGACTTCTGGATTTCGCAATTCCATCCACAGTCATAGGTGTCCTTTTGGGGAAATAGATGGGTTTCCCTGGTAGATGATTAAACTACCAGGTAAACCAGGAATCACCAGCTATTTTTCGACCACAACAACCAAAAAGGACGCCTATGTCCGCAGTATTTTTCGCCCAGATGGATCCAAGCTCCTCCGCTTGCAGCGCACTGGCGACGATGAGGGCAGCGCCCTGCCGAAGTATCGACCAATCAATCGGAGGAAGGACGTGATCGTGTCTAGGTCCTCCAGATATGTTTCCCATGGCTTCAATGGTTTCTCATGGCTTCCAAGTGGTGCAGGATTTCGTCCATCCAAAGTAGGTCCTCCAGAGAGGTTAGAACAAATTTTAGTAGGGGAGCCCTCTCCACCAAAAAAGAAAGGGTAAACGGGCACTACTGGGGGACCTGGGTGCATCACAAGAGGTCTTTGCTTTGGGCTGTGAAAAAAGGGGAACTGCCGAATGTGAGATGGAAAGGTTGATCAGCACCACCATGCACCACCCCCAACAGAAAACACCTCCCCCACCCCGATGCATCCATCTTATCACATGCATCTACAGGGAGGAGGAGTATATGATATAGGTAACCCCTTTAAAAGTACGATCACCTTGCCCTCATTTGCTCTTTGGATTGTGTCAAGCTCCATTTACTCTTGACACCTCATCATGGCCTCCCCTCCCCAAAATCTAGGGGTTGATTCCCCATTCTTTTCAACCATCGTTCTTTTCAAAAACCGGCCGTTTTCCCTGGGTTCCCAGACGTTTTCTAGCCGAATGGAGCCACGTTCCAAATCTTCCCTGAATTGGTTTGTTTGCCCTCGCAGGATGGGGCCCACTTTCCTCCTGAGGGACTTTTTGGCTGTTGAGTCACTAATGTTGCAACTAGTCAAAGCCGTGTGCTCAAAATATGTGTCAGATAAGGGTAAACCAAGGTGCAAAGGCGTCACGAGCCTCCAAAACAACACGCCCAAATTTCAGACTAGGGACTTGTCAAAAACAATCGCCTAAGCCTCATCGAGCCGCATAAACAAAAAAAACCAGCCCTCTTGTCCACGGATGCATTCGAATATTGGGGGAGAAAAAAAACACCTTGAGACACACAACTATCTGACCAACTTATGCAGTTGGTGATGGAGATTCACTGGGCAAAATATGACTGCTCGTTATTGCGAATGGATCCCAGGTGTTTCGCCACTATAGTAGGTATCTAGTGCCACTGTGCTGTTAATTAGCCTTTAAAAGGGGGGCACGCGCATGGCCATTCCACCAACCAGGCGGGAACGAAGACAGATTCTGAAACGCAAATGCCCATTCCACCAACAGGGGGGGGGAACAAAAACATATGGGTGTGGCTCAAAATTTAAGAGCTAGGGTTACGCAGGTTTTAGCCTTTGGTTCCATTTACCAAGGTGCCATTTAAGTACGTGTTTTTGAGCCACAGCCATATGAATTCTGCGGTGTCCTCAGGTCCCCTGCTAATAGTGTTTAACTTTAGTGGGACAATTAAATGCAACCCTCCTCTAAACCAACAGACCTGAAAAGCTGTGGAACCGGACGGCTGGGAATCGCCAAGGACAGGCGACGGGAAAGGCTCTTCCAACAAAATCGGAGACAAAACACAAAACAACCCCAAACAAAAACCACAACCAACAAAACACAACCACCTCCCCCCAAAAAAAACAACACACACACACACAACTCCCCCCCCCCCCACCCCAGAAAAAAAAAGAGGACACACACACACACAAAGCCCCAAACCCCCAAAACCCTCGGAGACAAAATCAAAAAGCGAGCGAGCGAGCCTCCGCCAGCACGAAAGGCGCCAGCTCTTCGCCCGGCCCCCGCAGCTCCAACTGGGCGCTTGCCATGGGGGGGACGGGGGGGAGGGGGAAGGGCAGGAATTGATGTTGAGAAATGGAGGTCTTTTTTGGAGGTCTTTTTCTAAACTCTGGATTCTTAACCTCTAGTTTTTCACATTGTCTTTAGTTTTTCACATGCTGGTCTTCCCTGGTTACCTGCTGTAGTGCCCTTCCGTCCACGAACACGGAACCTGACGTTTCGGGGTTCCGTGGGTGTCATGTGGACAGGCAACCACCTTCCTTTCCCACGAGCCCACGCCAATTTTTTCTCAGCTTTCGAGGCCCCCGCTTCATGCCTCTCAGGGCCTCGGCAATCCACGCTGAAAAGAAACACGGCGCCGGCACGGCCCTGAGCGCCGCGGCGCCGAAAGACCCCCTTGGGTTTAAGCAGTGGATGGCCCTTTGGTTGATGTTGGGTTCGGGGAGCAAACATGTAATCAAACTTTAGCAGTTAAGTGGATTTGGATTTCAACCACTAAGCCACAATAAGATCAAACGTGTGAAAAATGTTTCGCAACAACAACCATGTTTGAGTCCAACAACTGGGAAGCTCCCCAAGAACTTTGGGTACCATGCTTACCCTGTCTTCAGGAGAGCACATCAACCCGAAAGAAAGCTTTGTTTACACCATAACATATTCTGCTGGATACCTTCCTTTGGCCTCAAGGGTCGTGCCTCTGTTAAGGGATAGCCTTTGAGTCAGTGGAAATTCCAACATCGGAACTGGAATACCAAAAAAACATCATAATGCGTTAAAAGCAAATGCGTTGGTCTCCCCGACAGCTTTGGAAGACGTATTTGCCTTGTTTCTGGTCGCTATCCCAGGAAAATACAAGTTCAAAGTGTTGGACCCTCTTAAAAAGCAATCAGGTTTCCTTAGCAAAAACATGCAAACATCGCCTGACAAGGGAATCCTCCAAATCCGCTAGCCATTCAAGCTTGCCAAAATGCATCCTGCTGGCAACCCTGGCAGTTTTCCTGGCCCAAGACATCATGCCAACGGCCAGCAACTCCACGAGACAAAACACGTGGCTTCCCGTTGGTTGGCCTAAACAACCTAGGTCCTCCAGTAGAGAGGTTTGAAGAAGGGTACCAACTTGTTTCTGTCTATTTTAGTAGGGAACCCTCCCAAGCAAAAAAGGAGAGAAGGGCACTGGGAAACCTAAACGAAGTTCAATCGCTTGCTTTTGGGAGACTCGGATCCGAGTGGAGCACGGACCAGATCCACGAAGAGGTGCCGCTCGTCGCTAGCGTCCACCACTGGAAACCTCAAGGAAGCCGTCACCAGTTGATTCAAAATCATACCTCAGTTGTTCAGTAACCCTCTAAAAAAAGGGAACCTATTTTGGGAAGACCATTTTAGTGGGGCAGCCACCAAAAAAAAAGGAAAAAGGGAGCCACTGAACAACCGAGATACGGTACGGTCATAGGCGCGATTGTGCAGGTTAAACTTGTGGGACCTTGACTTAACATGGGCCGAAAAAGGAAAACCAAAAGGTTGGCTTTGGACAACTGAGTACTTGTTTGCCCCACTGAAAAAAACAAGGGTTGCTTAATGGGGGGGTTGTGAAAAGCTGGACATTAGCTTTTGAGTGAGCTCTTTTGCAAGTTTCCTTGAGGATGCACCCAGAAACCAGCTGCTTTACGAAGGGATCCTCTCAATCAGCTTGCAAAGAGGATCTCTGAACTGGCCCAAACTGTTTCCCCAACACTAAAACACCGATAGTTGAGGTTTCCTTAGTTGGGTGTTTCCTCCCGACGAGGTTTCCCTCCACATTGGGGAGCACGCCCCATGGTGCCCTTCTTTCGACGGTCACCCAGAGCAGCGACCATGGGAACTACGGGGCAGGTTTGCTTCTGCCTGGAGTCTCCATGACCCTAAAAAATGGGGGGTCATTACCCCAAAAAAGAATGGGGTCATGGACCCATGTTTAAAGGGTCATAAGGAGAGTCTAGGTGCCTCTCTTTCTTGTTTCTCCGGTTGTTCATGTTGCAGGGGGAGCGTTGAGAAATGGACACAGGCCACCGAGTGATAGGGACTATCCCCGTGGTTTCCGGAGCAGCTGCAAGAGGGTTGGAAGCGCTTGACTTAGACGCCAAGGGATGATGGAAAACCAAACAGTTTGTTTGGTTCATGTGGTTCATAAACCATTTGGTTCATAAATCATTTGCTTCATTATTTGGTTTAACAAAAATCATTTGGTTCATGAACCAAAAAGGAGTTGGTTCAGAAACAATTTGGTTCAAAGTTGGCGAAACCACAAAATATGAATTTCATTTGTTTCGTTGAACAGTTGAAAACCAGCTACCTTTTGACCGCATTCCTTCAAGGTAAGTTAGGTTAGTGTCTGTGTCTGTTTTGAGGGTACCCCTTGTTGGGTCTGTCTGTTTTGGAGGCTACCTGTTTTTGGGCGGTGTTAAAGGGACGCCCTAAAAGAACCGCGCCGATTTGCGGTTTCCCTAAAAAAGCTACACCTCTTTTCTTGGTTGCTGTTGACCGCTCTGCAAAAAGTTTAGTGTTTAATTGTGTGGGTCCAATGGAAAATCCAGTGTTGTCTCCCAAAGAGTCAAAGTCCAAAGATCCGTTACCGAACAGCCATAAAGTGTTGGATGGTTAAGGGGGGGGAGAGTTCCCGGAAAACACACTAGGCGAGTCACAATCCAAGCCCCGCACTAAAATTGTCAATCCACATGTAAAGAATGGCGAAGGCGCCCCATTTTTATGGTTGGCATTCTCCCTTAGCCTTTGTTTACCCGGGTTTCGAGGATTCGCTAGATCTCACAAGAAATCACCGGGTGCTCTAGGGAAAGACCCTGCTGCGAGGGATCCCCAACCACCAACCAATCCAAACCACCAACTGAGGGTTGGGGGAAGCTCCCATTTATCCTTTCTACGTCTACAACCAGCCTTCAAAACATCAAATCCCCGCTCCAACCCCGGTTGCTTTCTGCGCAGCCCTGCTCAAAGTGACCAACTTTCAGTGGCTTCATACGGAAAACCCATTAGTTGGATCAACAAGTTATTCAGTCCCAACATGGCCAAAGCCAACTAATGGGTCAAAATGGTTGAAACTGCACTGAAAAACTGTAGGGGACCAAAGCCAACTAATGGGACAATTTGGTCCTAACATCCCTCGGTTGCTTTCTGCTCCCCTGCTAAACGTTTAATTTCTAGTGGTTTAATGGAAAACCCATGAGTTGGCAAAAAGTTAAAGTCCTAAAATCCAAGCAAAATGCACCAAAGATCCCTTGGCAAAATGCAAAGGCAAGCCTCGGGGTTTTTCCCCCCAAGCCACGGCGCTGGCGCTCCCAGTTTTCGGGCACCATGAAGTCGTAGGCGCCGGGAACGGAGCTGGGCTCAAGGCCTCGCGTGCGTCGCGAGGCCGGGCCGGTGGTTCTACCGGGGGACTGTCTTGTCAGGGGACTTGTCTGAGCTTGGCGTGAAAGGAAACCCCAGAAAAACCCACCTCTTTCCCTTTGTTTGCGGGGAGGGGTCCCTAGTTTGGAGACAAAGTGAGGTAAACGCCATTTGGCGTGTTCAGGAAAAAAACTAAAAACAACATATGTGTTGTCTTGACCAGACATGTGCTTGTGTAAAAAACCGTTCAAGCATTGAACTTGGAGCGAGCGGTACATCGCTGAGTTTCCAACATGGGCTCTGATTGAAACGGTGCAGAAGAACGACAAGTCCTTGTCACGCAAAAAAAAACACCACCTGTATGAAATGGTGCTTGTCCCTTTCGTTTTCCTTTCAAGCAACCCCAAAAGGGTACCCCAAAAAACACCCTCATTTGGGGGTGCTTGAAAGGAAACCAAACGGACAACACACAAATAAACCCATTCTGGTATGTGGCTGCCTAAATTTCATCACGAACACAAATTTTGTGATCCTGCCAGATCCGCCGCTTCGGATGCTAAGCACAGTAGCGAGCATAACTTCATCCCTTCCACACTAGAGATACATTGACTTGCAGAAGCTCAACCAAGTGAAATTGTTTCACACATTAATCAACATTCCCTAGATCTGTTGTCGACACATCAAGCAAGAGCACGTCGAGCGTACGAGTCTCTTCGATCAGAAAGCGCGCCGCAAGGGTTTTGGAGCCAAATCTGCATGGTGTGTAAATGCTGTCAAGGCGGAGAAGACAGGTGGCGACATGGCATGTCAATACCACAACACGCCACACTCATGCATGACCTTCTTGCTGGTGGATCATCATTCTTTCGCACAAGATTCCCCCTGCTCAGCTAACGAGCGCAGCGCAAGCCTACCTCGTCAGAGGCTGCGGAAGGGGCTTCTCACATCTGCCTAGAGGGTACAAAGCGCATGATGGGCAACTATTCTTCAACTGAAGGGACGTGCTCCCGAGGATATTTCTTCACGCTTTCTGCAATCAATTTTCGGCCTCGCGTCTCGTCTCGCGAGCTTGCGAGACGCAGGCCGTGGAAAAAGGATGTACAAAGGGTTTCTACCCAGCACCCTCCAAAAGAGGTCCATTGGTACCCAAAGTGGCTTACACAAGAGAACTGCTGGTATAAATGGACCTTTCTTGGAGGGTGCTGGACTCTAACTTTTCGGGATAGCTCTCTCTCTCTCTCTCTAACTTTAGGGCGGCTTTTCTCTTCCCCCCCTTTGGCAAGCAAAAGCCGCCACCCGCAAACGCCGCCGCCTCAGATTTTCACTCTTAGGCCTCGACTGTAGTCCTGCTGGATCACCTCCATCTCCGAGGCCGGAAGGAAGGGGTTCAGGTAGCAGAGATGCTCGTGGTCCTGAGAGCCAACAACTCCCCTCAGGAGCCAAAAAGGCGAACTGTTGTCTAGGTCCTCCAGAGCGCCCTTTCGTCCCGGCTCGTCAGGTTCTGGCTGTGAAAAGAGTGGGAGGGGAACTAGGTCCTCCAGTAGAGAGGTTAGAAGGGTACCCGATTTTTTCTGTAGTCTATTTTAGTAGGGGAACCCTGCCCCAAAAAAGGGGCGAGAAGGGTACTACTGGGGGACCTAGTTGTTGTTGGCGGCCCCTTGTGATTTTGTTGCTTGAAAGGGGAACCAAAAGGAAGCCTATGGAAAATACCCCGGAATGATACGAATGAACCGATGAAAACGGCAGCTTTCTTGTGGCTCCAAAAGGGACCACCCTATGCCTGGTGCCCAGAGAAACCGTCCGTTTTGGCTCATCGAGCCACCTGTGGCAACATGGCCTCATTCGCGCCCATGTCTTTTGCCGTTTGCCCTGGCTCCTGTGGATGGACGAAATCCGTTCGCACCACTTTGAAACCATGGGAAGCCATTGTTTGTTGGCATTTAATTACAGGGGAATCATCATTCCAGGGTTTCTTAGGTGGGCTCCTATGAAACTCTCCCGGTGAGAGGGGAACATCACCGTTTCCGGCCGCGCAGGTCTGTGCTAGCGTGTGGGTAGCAAGCACCCTTTGGAAGGGAGTAGAGCCTTGTCTCGAATAGGGTTTCCTGTGCCCTGATTAATGGCTCCGTTTTTTTGTAATCACATTTGTTGAAATCACGCCTGAAGGGTCCAGGTGTTTTTTTTGAAATCACGCCTGGCTGATTCATCTATCAACTTTGCGGCTTCACAATTCGCAGTCAGCATTTCCCCAAGCCAGAATAAAAAGACACGTTGCCAGCGAACGGCGGATCCGAAACCCTTTGTTTTGAGGGGGTGAATAGTTTCACATTGAGGCCTTGAGGGCTTGTTTCACGCAAGCTGTGGTTATACACCAATGTCTACGACCAAGCCCGTCTGCTACAGTTGACCAAGTTGTTGCAGGTGTTGCAATTGGCTGCCGAAAAGTGCAACATTCGCCAAGAGTTGCATTGATCACGGACTCGCCCCAAAGTGCGGGGACTTGACACCAGTTGCCATGCAGATTCCTGTCGTAAAGGGAGCGGCGATGGGGCCTTTTGGCGGTCATCTCCAGTCTTTCCGGCCAAACGATCCTTAAGCCTGCCATTCCCATGCTCCTTCGTTTCTCGGATTATCTAGGTCCTCTAGTAGAGAGGTTAGAATAAGGGTACCCTTATTTTTCTGTAGTCTATTTTAGTAGGGGAACCCTCCCCGCAAAAAGGGTAAAAGGGCACTACTGGGGGACCTAGTTTTGGCTGCTGCTCAGAAAATCCATGTGATTAAATGTGCTGTCCTGCCCCCCCCCCCTTCCATGCTCCATTCCACCTCACTCGAAGGCCAATGCAATGTCAAGCACGGTGAATGAGCGAATGGGATGATCGTCGGCCAAAAAAAAAAGCCAAACTCTTCAAACGCGCGGAGTGTCAATGAAAAGGCAACATCCGGCAGGCCAGTCGCAACCACCAGGAAGCTGTTGCAACCGTTTGCGTTTTTTTGGACCCACTGAATAATGTTGCTGGACTGAGTCATAGGGCAATCTGCTGTTCTTTTTTGCTGGGATCATTCGGCACCGCCCAAGAAACCCCTGGAATGATTCGATTCCCCTGGGAAAAACCAAACGTTATGGTTTCACCTATGGTTTCGTGGTGCGAAATGGATTGCGCAGCCATCCACACCCATATGAGCCCTGCCCAAGGCTCCCATTTCTGCGTGCCGAGCGGCGCGCTCCATCGCCAGAGCCAACTCCTGCCACCTTTCCTGCCCGAAGGCCGCTGCGTGCGCCGCATGCCAACCTGGAGGCGTGACATCGAGCTTTGACCATTGGCACTACGGATGGCCGAAATCCTCTTAGGCACCGCTGAAAAAACCCTGGTTTCTGATGACCTGTAAATACCAACAAACAATGGCTTCAACCATGGTTTCAAAGCGGTGCAGGATTTCGTCCATCCACAGTATCACCCTGTCAAGAGTGACAGCATACGTGGGTGTGGCTCCCATTCATTCGAAGTGGGTGAGAAACAGGTCTCACAGCCTCCAAAATCATATGGCAACTGATTGGCAAGCAACAGGTGATCTTTGGGTGGAACGGCCAAGAAAGGTAGTGTCGAAGGGAGCACAGGCCAACACGCTGTCAAAAACCATGAAACAAAAGACACATCCTTGCCATAGGTGCCCTTTGGGTAAAACGAACGGCCCTGGTGAACGGATGAACCAATTCAAAACAGTGCCATCTATTTCTAACCAAATCGAAAAAGGACACCTATGATCCCAGCTTCACCTTGCGTATCCCCCCAATTGGCGGGACAGTCGCTATCACTTCCCGAAGCGACGTCAACTCTTCGGAAGGTCTCACTGCGCGCGTACCAAAAGTGCCTTCTTCCCCGCGCAGTGCCATGGGAGCTATGAGCAGTCTGCGCCAGACGTCTTCGAAATGTCCACTTCCGTGGGGTCGGGCACTACCCACTCTGCAATCGATTCCAGCTGTGCCATGCGTTTCCAACCGCCACTTAGCCAAAACGGGAGGATGCCAAAATCAGGCAAGTCGCAGAAGCACAGGTTGTTCCTGGGGTCTTAAAGTGGGAACAGTAAGCAAGTGCAACGTACACTTTTTGTGCTGAACCCAGGTGTAAACTGTGCGGTCCTTGTCATGCTTGGCGCGCCAAAAACCATATGTTCCATTGGTTGGCATCTTGTTTCCTCGCCGCTGCATGGTCTAAACTCGGGCACAAGCGGCGATTGCATCAGCCCACTTAGAGTCTCCCTTGCTTCCACTGCCAAGCGTCCAAAGACATGATTCACTCACGAGAATATGTATATATAATATATATATATATATACATACATATATTGACCCAAGCGTTAATGGCAAACCTTCCCAAGGGCCCCCCTATGAACAGAACTTTCATGAGTGCGATCACACACCTCTTGGTGATGTGGCTACAAATTGAACCAACAATGCGTTTGTCTCCAAATACCCCACGTCACGGAGTGCTTTCCTGTTGGTTTCCCCTAAAACAAAGCACATAAAGGGTATCATGATATGACGTGTATGTATATATGTATGTACACGCATGTTTTAAAACAATCTTTCTTTGCAGTCCATCTGAGCTTTGCCTTTCCTTGATCTTCCAGGACCCTGAAAAAGCACCCCTTTGGCTGATTTTCCTTTTTCGAACAAGATCTAAATCAAAAAGGGCCCTGTTTTTGCGGGACTTTGGAAGACCAAGGTTTCATTCTCTAATTTTCCTGATTCTCCAACCTTCCCAAAATCGCCGCAACGCTTCCGCGGGTTTTGGTTTTGGTTCAAGCTGCTTCCGCGACAGTGCGGCTGATTTTGGGCTTCTGTTGTTACAATTGGTCGCTTTGACACCAAAACCTTCGGAGCTTCCGCGGGCCGAACCTTCCCACAACCTTCCGCGACTGCAGTCCCAAGCACATTCTGCTGTGTCCACCCGCTTCTGGTACATGTACCAGGTGAAAAAAAAAAAAACTTATTGCTCATCTATCCACTTGAACCGTTCGCCTGTAAAGTAGGCACATGTACGACCGGTACTAGAATCAGTGGATGGCTGAACATTCGCCTCTTGCTGCAGATTTGTGCTTGAGGTTCACATGATGACTACTTCAATTTGGGGCCCTGGGTATCGCAGGAAGTTGCCACCTACTCAGTCTGTCCGCAACCCGTGAGTTGGTCCTGAGCTGTTTGGCAGCGCACGCGTTTTGGACATCCCCGCGCGGAAAAGGGCACGAGCCGCGCAAAAGTTGCCGAACAAACCAGGGGTTGGGTCCGCTGGTCAACTCGGCCGGCGCGGCGCATTTGATGCATTTTGATGCGACAGGGACCTCCCAGCGTGCCATCAAGGAATGCCATACAGAACAGTGTGCTGCGTGTCCATGCTCGTACTCTGGCGGCTTTGCAGAAAAGGAATTCCTTGTCTGGTGCAGGAAGAGATGGCACACTGCATTTGTGTACACGTGCTTCGTGCGAATTCGCTCACTGCCTCGCCTGCGCAGCCCCGAGTATGCCCAGCACTGGCACTCCCATGTGTCGAGGGAAAATCAAGCGCGCAAAGCGCATGTACCCCCACAGTGGTCCTCGCCTTGACTTCTGGCGGAGTGGGTTGGTGCACCTCGGCAAGTGGAGTCTGCTTGATTCTTGCCAGTTGCGGGTTGTTTGGGGTTGTTACGGTTTGTTGGCAGTGTTTGGTTTTGTCGCTGTTCGTAATTCGTGGTTGTTGGTTGGGGCGTTGGCTGTTGGTTGTTGCATGCAAACCAAATACATTTATAATATATTAAAAAGGAAGGCTTGCAATCTTCGGAACTGCAAGGGGTTTGTGGTTGGGCTAGCTCATTTGCTTAGGGAACTAAAAAATCAAGTACCTCCTTGAAACAAACACCACTCTGGCGAGAAGTACTTGCCTGGGTCGGCTGACACTCACACAGACAATCCGAGAGATTTCATTTCAATGGCCCGTGCGTTCCAGCCTGCCAACCTGCAAAGATTCAAATGGAACATGCTTCCCCCTTTCTCTGATCGGTTTGATTCTCCTGCGTCAAGGAAGCCACATGTTTCTGTCCCAGGTCGAGGCCAGTTACACATACTAAGGGCTTCTGACCTCACCAGAACCAAATGAGCAAGCCGGGCGAAGGCACCCGGTTTATGGGGATGCCTTGACCTAGCCGAATCGGTTTTGAGCAAGTGACGCTCACTTGCAGATTCCAGTCGGTTTCCCCCAAAAACACCAAACAAAAACCCCGTGTTTTCTTTTTCTGGGGGGGGTATGACAACTTGGTCTAGCGGTTTTTCTTTGACATTTCTAGAGGTTTTGGGGGGCCGGTCTCCTGGTGGTTACCTGAGCCGCCAGCTCGAGCTCTGGCCCTGAGCTCCTGACCGCCAGCTTCCAAACCAGACGGGACCGCGCGGGTTGAATTGTCCATGGCTGAAACGATTTGGGCGTCTTAAAACAGGGAATCACGAAAAAATGCTGGCTCCTTTAAAGAGTGTCCCCCCAAAAAATAGCCCAACCTCGTTTGCTGGTGACCCCTCTGCAAGAAGTGTAACATATTTTTAAAAGTTCAGTGGAAAACCCTTCATTGCCCAAAAGTTAAAGTCGAAAGATCCAGGCCGATGGCAATCAAGCGTTGTTGGCGTTTACATTGGGGGATCGAATCAGAGACCAGGCTGCCCTGAAGTGGGATTTCTGGAGTTCGATTTCAACCATCAGTACCACTGATTCTCATACCAACATCTAGGTTGTATAAAATCGTGTCTTGTTGCTTGTCTCGAAAACACAGATTCTGCGATCAACCTGAAAGAATTCCGTACTGGAGCCGGTGAGTTCACTTTGCCCAAAGGTACCGTTTGTCCAAAGTGAAAAGGTCCCCCAAAAAACAAAACCGTCCGTCTTCCTCCGTCAGCTGAGGGGTAAGCCTTGCAACAAACCATGCGGAAACTGAAGGAAGCTGTCCCACCATGAGGGCTTTTCTCAGTTGTTCAGTGACCCTGGAAAAAAAGAATCGGAACCCTTTTTGGGGCTTGGACCACTTTTAGTGGGGCAGCCACCAAAAAAAGGGGAAAAATAATTGGTGCCACTGAACAACTGAGTTTTGTTAGGAATCGCCCTGGCTGAGGCACCCCTGTCCGAAATCTGAACATCCAATTCAGCCGGCGTCAGAAAAGCTCGATGCCTTCAAGCCTTCCAGTTGACATTTCAGCCGCAAAACTGCGCCTATTTGCTCAACTCATTTCACGGATTTGTGGAATAGCCACCCACGAATCATGGAAGCCAAACATAATGGAAGCTGGTGACTAGGTCCTCCAGATTTGAGAGGTTAGAATAAGTTGGTAACCGATGTTTTTGTTTTCTTTCTGTAGTCTAATTTAGTAGGGGAACCCTCCCCCAAAAAAGAAACGGGTGAGAAAGGGCACCTGGCTGGGGGACCCAGTCTCTGAAGTGTCCCAGTGATTCCATTCCTGGAAATACCCAAGAAGTTTCCCTCCCTTCAAAACCAAGCGGACCGTTCTGGCTTGGGATCTTCTTATGCGTCCTTGCAGGCTCCGGCAGCCAGCAGGGCTAGGGCCTCCAGCGCGAAGGATCGGGTCCACATCTGATTCCACTTTTCTATTTTCAGGTGAACTCAAATGCTCTTGGGTGACCCTACATGCTCCGAATGCTGCTTGAGGTTCTAACAAATGAGTTCGAGGTATTCTTGGGTGACCCCAAATGCTCCGAATGCTGCTTGAGGTTCTAAAATGGGTTCGAGGTATTCTTAAAATTGACCGGTTCTAACAAATGGATGCGGAGACATCGTGTCCTGTGCAAGCGATTGGAACCAGTTCATTAGAACCTCAGGCAAACCAAGGCGCCACCCTTCATCTCAAAGGGAAATGGCTGGCAACCTAGTGGAATCTGGGGTCCGCAGGATCTCTCCTGAACCACGACGATAGAGATGGAAAACGTCGTTGATCGAAACCCAACCGACTTTTGTCCTTGAAAGACCCTGAAAAAGGGGGCCCTATATCAGAGTCATGATTCCTCCAGTGTAGTTCGGCCCTCCAACGAGTGGCCAATGACACAAGGGCTCTAAAAACCCACTATCGACTCCTTCTTGCCCGGGAGTTGTTGGTTGGGGTCTTCCCTTCAACCCCGGGAAAAGACGCTTAACCAAATCAAGACAGCGAATCAAGACAGGCGAAAGACAAACGTAGAGACTGGTTAAGAAGGGATAACAAACAAACAGAACGGGTCCCATCAGGATGACTCTTCAAGACCACCAGGTTCTGACCAAGCAAATCGATCACCAAGTCCTCATGGTCACGGGACAAAACAAAAAACTGTTTCTTGACACTCTTGATTCACCGTAGGGGACCCTGGCGGTTTCAAGCGTGCGAGCGTTTCACATCCGAGGCGTGAGCGGCAAGCCACCAGCGCCGCCGGCGCCTGCGCCTGAGCTTATGGTCAAAACTCCGTTTCCTTGGCCTATGGTCCTGGTTCGGGTTCGGGTTCGGGTGGGGTACCTAATGATGAAAATGGTGTTGTTAACCTTGGTCTTCCAAGGACCCGCAAAAAGAGGGCCGTTCTTGATTCTGATCTTGGTTTCAAAGGGAAAATCGGCCAAAGGCCTGCTTCTCCGGGGTCCTGGCGGGATGTTTTTTTTGGGGGGGGATTCCATGTCTCATTCCCCGCCTATCACACCAAGAGCTTTTTCTGATCATGGCAGTCCCTTGCTGCGCCTCTTTGCGGCGCCTTCTCGGGACAAATGGCCATGGGTCAAAACCCAAATCGTACCCCCAGTGAACATCCCAATCCCCACTAAAACAGACTAAAATGGGTGGTGCACCTATCCTATTGGTTTTGAACCTTTTTTTCTGTATATTTTAGTAGGGGAACCCTCCCAACCAAAAAAAAAGGGGAGAGAATCTGCACCAATTGCTGGGGGACCTTGAGCACTTCTCTCAGGGCGCCGCGGCCGGGCCGGCCGGCAGCTCACTGCCGGGCAGCACTGCAGCCGCTGGGCACTGAACTCCTGGGGGTTTAGTGGAAAACCCCACTTGATTTCAACCAAAAAGGTTTTTAGTCTAAAGATCCAACCCAGCAGTCAAGAATTCTGGCAGGTTGGACCTACTTACCCAAGGGTGAGTTTCACTTGGAACGGGTGATGTGTTTAGGGGAAACATGGTGCTTTGGGTTAGTCGGGGTTGTAGTGAAGCCTATATACATTCCCACCAACTAACATGGGTTTGTGCAAAAAGGCAAACTAACCAAGAGGAAAGTAGTCTTTCTACAGGGGTCTGTGCACTTCCATGTTAGCTGGTGGGAGGGACGAAATCCATTTCGCACCACCAAAACACCCTGCAACGATGATTTTTCCTGTAAATACGAACCAGCAATGGTTTCTCATGGTTTCAAAATGGTGCAGGAGTTCGCCCATCCACGGTAGGGGGTTGGACCTACTTAGCCACAGGGGGTTGGACCTACTCTCGGTTGCTGTCTGCTCCCCTGCTACAAGTTTTAAACTTCTAGTGGTTTAATGGAAAACCCATGAGTTGGCAAAAAGTTAAAGTCCTAGCATCCAAGCAAAATCCGCCAAAAAGACAGTGACTTAGATGGTCTGGGAGGTAGCTAAGAGTCCGGGAACCCTGATTGCAGGGTTCTTAAAGCGATTTAGCTACGTCCCAAGACAAGTAACGGCGCCCGAAGATTCTTCGCGGGGCGCCAATCCATTTCTCCTCGGTTTTTGGCTGCTTTGGTTTCTGGGGGCGGCGGAGGTCGGTTGGTTTCCTTTTATATTCCCGAAGAAAGCTACTGGTGTAAGGACCCCTAGTTTGAGAAACATCCATCTGCCCTTCCAGTTCCGTTTACAGAGACCTCGATGTCACCCATTCTGCGCGGGCCTCTTCTAGAGGATGGGTTTCTTCTTTCAAAGCATTCTTGTCCACCTCCATTTTTTGCCCGGTGACCCTGGTAGAAAAAGGCCACTGCAGAACCAGGCGAATCGTGCTTTTGTTGGGATATGATTTAGGTGAGAATAGGTCCACCATTTGGGAGGAAAGGCTAAAAGGTGCATCAAAATCCTCAAGCGAACCAACCGCAGGAAGCCTCAAAACCCGAAAGGAACTCCCAGCCCCTTAGGTATTTTGGTAAGGTCAGTTGGGACTTTGTCAGTTGGTGGCTCTCTGATTTTCTTGAGAGGAACACCAAGCAGCAAGCCCTCTCCCCTGCACCCAAATATATCCAAATCCCTTGTCACTTACATGCAGGCCTGATTGAAGGACGCAAGTATTGAACACAGCCTTTGCCACCACATCAAATGAAATCCACCGTTGTGATGCTCAGGTGGATGATACTGTGGATGGACGAATTCCTGCACCACCTAAGAAAACCTGGAATGATGATTCCCCTACAAATACCAACAAACAGTGGTTTCAAGCATGGTTTCCAAGTGGTGCGGACGGATTTCGCAACCATCCACAGGGTGTCACAAGCCTGGCACAAATGACTGGCACAAATGACGGGCAAAGGTTCAAGCCTTCCCCTGCGCGCCTGTTCCTTCACGCTCCGGGCGGTGTCTTGGTCCCAGGGCACCTTGCCCGCCGCTCGGCCTGGGCTCGCCATCCCTACTTGCCGCCTTCTCTTCAGACCATGGGCGGTATCCCAGGCGCTGTGGTTCTTAGTTTTGTCTTACCCTGTGGGAGGTGCGAGGCAGGCTTGCCCGGAAGGCGTCTTGCAGACGGACGCAAGACTCAAGGGACTCAAAATCCAACGCATGCCATTTCACACAACTGACATCATGCAACAAAGCCGTAGGTTCACTGCTCAGAGCACCTTTCCGGGACGCTGCTCAGCCTCACTGGTTCTCGGTTTCCACTTGTTCACAACACATGGGGGCTGCTCTGTTCGGCTCATCGCAGGCTGCCGGATGTTGGCCGTGCTTGGATCGGACTGGACGTCGGACGTCAATGAGCCAGCTTCTTGAGGGTTGAAAAAGGGCCCGGGCGAGGTCCAGCGCCCTTCTTGGGAATCCCGTCACCAACAAAAACAACCCTAGGGAGTCCTGGTTTAGTGGAAAACACCACTTGATTGCAACCGAAAAGTTAAAGTCTAAAGATCCAACCCAATAGCAGTCAAGGAGTCTGGAAAGGAGCCTCCAAACAGCTTCAAGGTCTAGGGGTGAAATACGTCCCCATTCTTTCCAGGAGGTTGCCCCCCCCTGCCCCCCGCCCCAAATCTGCAGTTGATGGTTAAAAGAATGAGGTCTCGATCGTCAGAGCATGTCCCTTTCAAACCTCAGGGGCACAAAAGAAAATCACGACCTGCAAATGGGCGTGTGCCACAAAGGGGCACCCGGGTGGGTTCCTTCAATTTCCCTCAACTCCCCAAACACCCTGAACATAATTTCCTTTGGGTTTCCTCAACCTCCAAATGGGCCACCCTTCAAACAAGACAAAAAAACAAAAAAAACGGAGCCCGCCAAACACCCCCACGACGCGTTCAACTCGGGCCCTTAGCCACTGCTCGCTGGGAAGTCCTCCGCCAAATGCTTTGGCAGCGCTGAGACCTGGGAACCGACAAAGAAAATGGTGAATTGGTTTTGACCGACAGCCACTTGCTGGTGCGGCTTTGGGAATGCCCCTCCGGGTTCGGGAATGAACTGGAAAAAAGGATCGTTGGGGCCGTCGTTATGCACTTGGATACTTGGGATCTGTCATTTTGGATGCAGGGCAGGGAATGAGAAATGGAATGACGCCTATAAACCATCCAACTGGTGGTTTCCTTTAAGGGAATCCCCAGATTCCTGCCCTCATTCCCTACTGAGCACCAGCAAGATAAACTTGCTGGTGCGATAGGGAATGACCCTCCGGCTTTTGGAATAAACCGGAAGGGGGTTCCCTTGAAGGAAACCATAGGGGATGGTTTGTAGGGTCATTCCCTCATTCGCTGCAAACCGACCCGAAAAATGATATCCTCAGAACGAAGACACACCCACCTGCGGTTTAATCAAGCCAAGCCTCGGAAGTACGAGGTGCGTCGAAAGTGAACTGGGTGTGTGCCAAGCATGCTTGGTGTCAACCATGTAGAATGAAAAAAACAGTTCAACCCCCTTCAATGCAGGTCCTAGACTCCCGACCCTTTAAGGGACTTAAAACAACGACATTTGTTGAGGCTCCCGAAAAAGTCAGGAGCTTCAGGGCATACAATATCGAGAGAATCCAACTGATAGCTCTCAAAGATCAGATCGATTCACCTTCGACCGGCTCGCTCATGGCCAAGGGAATCCAGCTGCAACCAACCAGGTCCCTAGTTCAGGCATACCCAAACTTACCCCTTAAAACTCCAAGCCCTGGGGAAGTTAATCTTTTACAGACATATAGCCCATGTTACCCAAAAAGTTGAAAAGTTGTGTTTTTAAGAGGTAAGCAAAGTGTGTCTTAAAATGACCTTGTAAACCCACCCCACAAGTACCAAACCCAAAGCAAGCACACCCAAATGCTGAGAGAAACCTAGCTTTGCAGAGCGAACGAGGCGGAGTAGGGCTGTCAGCTTCCCATGTAGGCCTTTCGATTCTGAGCGAAATGCTCCAAACCTGACAACTTGTGTTGTCCTTTTTTCGTGGTATACGCAGGTATACAACATAATTCCTTCAACTTATGCTGCTTCTACTGCTTTAATGCATCTCTCCTGCTGGTACTTTACTTGCCATAATGCGACTTGTCTATTACTTTTCTAATACGAATGCCTACTACCTACACCAACTACCTACTGCGTACTGCCTGCTACATACTGCACACTACCTACGACTGCGCCTACAGCGGCTACAACCACGACTACGACCAGGACTACGGCTGCAACTACTACTAAGACTACGAGTACTAGGACAACAGCTACTACTTCTTCTACCATTCCTAGCAAGATCTTTCCTTGCCCCAACGTAATCGCGTATAGTAAGTACATCACCGGGTGGTCCTTCCATTTGCTCGACTACTGTCATTCGTTGATTTGTGCCCTCTGCCAGTTTGCTCGACAATGCTTTGCCCTTGCTAACGCTTACCCAACTTCCAGGGACGTTGGTCACAGCCGCAAGCACGGCAGTCGATCCCCGAGATCCCGGCAGAGATGGACATGGAGCCCTTGCGGTAGCTCTTGCCCACAGCCTTCACCTCACAAGGTGGGGAAAGGCCCGTCCCCACACAGACATAAAACAAGAAGTTCATTTCCCCCTTCGAGCAACTCCAGCTTGAACGGAAGGCATCAAGTGAGGCCCGCTTTGGATTTTCAGGGCTCCGCTTGAAATAAACGCTTTTCAACTTGCTCCAACATGATGTTTGAACCAACAGCTTGAAGGAGAAACGTGGGCAGTGGGTGAGGCCATGATGTCTAGTACTCGGGATGGGTTTCTCTGACACCTGTGGTGAAGTAATTGGTGAAGTTTCCTTGTGTTGCCCCAAACACACTGCCAGGTTCATCCGAAACGGGTGAGAACCTGGCTCCCAAACAGCGTGACATGTGGCCATCTCCCGGGCATGTGTCAAAATCGGGGAACCAAAAAGAACCCGCGGCTTTCCCTATGGTTCTCCTTTAAACCAACCCAACATGGGTAGCCTTCAAAACACAGAGCTTGTGCTTGAAAGCCGAACCATCTCAAAGGGGTCGGTCAATGGCCCGAGCTTTCCCCAGGAAACTGCAGGTACGCTGAAGTGGCCAACTGCACCTTGGTTGCTGCTGACGCCTCTGCAAAAAGTGTTTTCAACTTCTCGCAGGTTCAATGGAAAGCTGATTTCGACAAAAAAGTTAAAGGCTAAACATCCAACCCAAGAGCAATCAAGACACACACACACACAGAGAGACACATACATGGGGGCTTCAAATACTGTAGTGCACAAGCCGGAAACAAGGAATGCCCAGGTAGTGGACCATCACCAGGGCCGGAGCTTGTTCCTCTCTCCCCGAGCAAGATGGGTCGCCGTACAAAAATGCCCAAATGGCACGAACTTAAGCCACACTACGCTTGACCGGGCCAAACCTCCAAGCAGCCGACGGTCAGGCTGTTGAACTCACATTGAGAAGGTCGGTCTGCGGCTGCGGACACCTCAGCATATCAAGGGCCAAGCTACGTAAGCTGAACGGCTGGCCGCGAGTCGAAACCTGTCGGATGTTTGTCGTTGCAAGAAAGGAGCCTCTAGTCTTGACACATATCCATCATAGAAACCAGCGTGAATTTCTACAGGAAGTGAGTCAAATACCCAGCAAAACCGTGGGACATCCACCAAACCATTCGAATTTGGGCTTGCTGCCTGCCAGAACTCCCGCTTGTTCCTTGCCCCAACTCTCTGCATCCCTCCCGACTCCCGACGCGCCCGACTCACAGGCTCCGACGGATTTCAGCGGGTCCTTCAGGGACTGAGTCACTTGGCCTAGCCGAGGTATCGAATCCAACACCCAGGTTGGAAGCACTCGGTAAGCATTGTGACAACTGACCTGGCTTCCCTTCTAGAAAAACAACTGGTCAGGTTTAACATGGGATGAGTGATGGGCAGTATTGGTAGAGTTGCTGCTTAGCCGGCCAGTCCAGCTCGGATTTCCAGCAAGCATCCAACTTTCCCACCCTGGAGCCGTTCGGGCGCCCCGAAAGAAACCTGCCAGAATTCCTCGAAGCCCAGGCAACGAATTCTCGACGACGCGGCTTGCAAGAAAGCAACGCTGGCTCAGTTGTTCAGTGACCCTGGAAAAAAGGGAACCCCTTTTTGGGGCTTGGACCACTTTTAGTGGGGCAGCCACCAGAAAAAAAGGGGAAAAAGAATTGGTGCCACTGAACAACTGAGCTGATGTTGACTCAAACACCAGGGCTCAAGCTCGGGCCTTGGAAAGTTCTAGGGGTTGATCCCTTGTCCATTCTTTTCAACCATCGTTCTTTTCAAATACGGATCGCCATTTCAACCATCGTTCCCCTACCAACCCAAGCAGTCTGAACTTTGATATCATGGTTTCAAACTCATCATTGTAGGGGTTGATTTCCCATTCTTTTCAACCATCGTTCCTTTAAAAAACCGGATGTTTCTCGTGGGTCTGATGGTTTTCTGGAAAGAAGGATCCCTGGGTTAAGAATGGGGAAGTGTCCCCTAGAAAAGTACTTCGGATCACAAACATCCGATGTCAACACAGCCGCTGCCATCTGAGGATTCCTCGCAGCCCTGGCCAAAGAAGTAGGCTGCAGGGGGCACAAAAGCTCCCAACAAGAGGCTTTTGAGCGCCAACAGACGGGTCTTCCCAGCTGACAGCGCTGCCAAAACTGCAATTGCGTGCTTCAGACATCTCTTGCAGATTCGTTCTAGGAGGTGGGGGAGCGCCTTCAATTCGACCCACAAAAAACCGTTGTCCATGCTGAGTTGACCTGATTTGGCTGTGTCTTAACATAGGGAATCTGCAAAACGATGCTTCCTTTTGAATCTGTTCCTTTAAAATGACCCAACTCTCTCATCAAAAACTTGGGTCTCCATTCGAGAAAGACAACAGCTGCCGAACTGCAAAGAACGGAGCACTGCGAGTGTGTGCACTGCTCGCGCTGACCCCTTTGCAAAACGCTTCACGTTTTCTGGCATTGATTCCGAAAACCCTTGTTTTCAACCAACAAGTGCCAACCTCTAAAGATCCAAGAGCAATCAAGCAACAAGACACACTCCAAACAAGAAAAAGAAGAAACAAAGGGTATAGCTTCACAAAAAGTGCGAGTTTCCGCCAAAAAAGCAACAAGGCAGTTTCAAAAAAAAAAAAAAACGACGCCACGCTCACAGCGTCACAGGCCGGGCGGCTCGTTTCGCCAGGGCCCGGGCCAAGGAGCTCCCAGGTCTTGGCATCCAGGAGACTCACCGCCAGGGACACCTGACCCCAAATCCCAGAAGCAAAGAACACCATTTGCGAACTTCACCCAGTGGCTTTTGTTTGAGACATTTTTTGCGAACTTCACCCAGTGGGTCTCAAAAAACTTGACATTTCACCGACAAACGGCAACAACGGACATGAATCCCAGAGCAAACGCCATGGGGGTGTGGGTGTCTCAGTTGAAACAAGGACCACCCAATTTCACCCAGTTGGTCTCAAAAAGTGTCACCAGTTTGTCTAAAAACACCTGACATTGACATTTCACAAAAGAAAAACTGACATTTCACAGGTCTCCAAAAACCTGAAATTTTACCGAGCGTCTCAAGCAAATCGTTGAATTTGCGGGGCGTCCGAGGAACCTCAGAGAAATTGAAATGGTCAGGGTGCTTTCCCCCTATCACACTCCTATGCAACCTGAAGAAAGGAAGACCTAGTGGACCTTTGGATTCCATGGGAGCGCACATTCGGGGGGTCACTGGTTGACTAGAGCCACCCCAGCCAATCTTCGCTCTCGTTTCTCAAAGAGGTGGCTGGCAAGGGGCAGTCCCTTTCACTCGATCCCCTGCTGAGGTTCGCCAAGCAAAGAACTTCCGGTTGGAGGGTCTTGGAGTGTTGACGGCAAGAAATGTTCAGCAGGAAGGCCATGGGAGAGTTTGTGCGACTGAAGACGGACCCCGTTTTCCCAACCTTACATTTGTTGCTTGACTTCTTGTTCCACTGTTCGGCCCACAAGCAGGCGGAGTGTCCAACAAAATAGAGTCCAAGGAAGAATGTTCGGTTCAATTAACAACATGAGGATGGAACTGAGCGAAGCCATTTGGCGAAGTTGCATGTGGGTGGTTCCTTTATGTTTGATACAATTTGGGATGGTTTTTGGGATTGTACGGGGGACAAAAGGAACACCACCAATTTTGCGGGTTTTGTCAAATGGAAGGGGGCCTTCGATTCTATGGCTGTTTCCGGTACATCGAGAAGCACGAGGTGATCTTCCGTTCTCCGCGAGTCCACCTGGACCTCAAGAAGAACAGGGGACCTCCCCCCAATAAAATGGGTTTCCAGCACCCTCCAAGGGTGGTTGGTCCGTTTGTACCTGACGTGCTCTTCTTTTGTGAGCCATTTTGGGTACCAATGGACAACCCTTGGATGCTGGTTGGTTCCTTGTGGTTTCCTGTTGAAAATTTCAGGGTCCATTTTCGTGAAACCTCGGGGTCCAGCATTTGAGAAACCTCCCATTCTCGTGTTGCATTTGGTTGCAATCTGTTCACTTTTAGTAGGCTGCCAACATCATCATGACACAGGTAGGGCCATTAGGATGCTGCGTGTATGCTATCTGGGGTCTATGCTGGTGTAATTGTTTGTGTATTGTCTTGATGGCACGCTCTTCCTCTCCCTAGGCGATTCCGTCAAGCTCAAGCCCAAGACTTCTTCGGAAGACTTGGTTCCATGTACAAAGCCTCCATGTTAGCCTGCAGTGTAAACCAGCCACAAGCCATTGGAGTTGTTCAATAGGGTGTCCTTTGTTCCCTCTCCATATTGAGTTGACATCCACCGTTTCTCCCATACACACCCGTAATTGAAACCCCCGGATGTTTAATCTTCACAACCCTTGGTATGGGCCTGCAAAAAACTGACTGCTTTGTACAGCCTAGTAAAAGTGAACAGACTACAAAAACAACTCTTATTAAAAACAAAAAAACTTGATCCAAGAAGAGTGATATTCCAAAAAAACCCAGTACAACTGATATTTCCCAAACAAAGAAGCGCCAATTGGAGTTGAACAACACCTTGGTTGCTGTTGACCCCCTGCAAAAAGTGAATCACATTTTGGAGGCTTGATTCGGAAAACCCAACTTGATTTCAACCAACAAGTTAAAGTCTAAAGATCCAACCCAATAGCAGTCAAACAAAAACCAAGGACCTCGAGCCTCGTCTCGTTTTTCGCTCATGGCCTCACCCGTGATGAGTCGCAGCTTCGGGAAGGTGAAGCGCCACTCAAAGCTCGCCCCTCGGCTTCGCGGTCGCCCCCACCCCTCTATGCCGTGTTTCCCAAACATGTGCTTGGAGTCTCCTTCTGAACCTTACCAAATGGTTGGTCATGACTCAAAATAATGGGGTCATGGACCCATGTTTAAAAGGGTCATGGAGAGTCTTGGTGGGGGTGTCGTTTTTTTGGGGGGAAGACCCTATTTGGTTGGTTTTGAAAGAAGGCCCTGAAAGGAAAACCCACCATTTTCTCAAAAAGGTGCGAAATCGGTAGGGAATGTGAAACGGAATGAACCCAGGCTTTGGTCCCCTCAAAGGAAACCGCCATGGATGGGATGGTTTTTCTTGAGGACATTCCAATTCTCATTCCCTGCTGAGTACCAGCAAGTTAGGGCATGAACGAACCGTGAGTCCCCCTTCGTTTTACGTGGCCTTCTTTTTGTGGTTGGAAAGAATAAGAGCTCCTCCACAAACAAGTGCCCCAAGTGTACCATAGACTCGTGTCAAAAGGTGAAAAACCATAAGGTTCGGTGCAACTGCTCATCTAACCCTATCCCTCCAAGGTCATCCCCCCCACCCCGACAAAAAACAAACAACGGGCCTTTGCGGCAGGCCCGTTGCCGAAAACAGCACATTCACAGGGTTTTCTTGCAATCTGTCCCTTTTAAACATCACCCAAAAGACAACCTTATAGCTAAGGCTATCTTTATCAGATGCCTCAGTGGCCAGGGGAAAAAAAGAATCGGCATCCTTTTTAGTTGGTTGAGTTTAAAGGAAAGGGAACCCTGCCCACAAAGAAGTTGGAAAAAGGGGCGGACCCCGCTGGCAACTGGGCTTTCCTAAAAGCGAAATTTGTGGGTCTGCACTCAAATGTGAGAACCCGAGAAATTGGTTGGTAAGTGTGCTCCTTTGATCTCCCCCCAAAAAAAATAAGCTCGGGCGATATCCCCAACAGCACCACACCCTCCCAGAATCCTCGCGGAACGCCCCGGGACCATCCTTACCGCCGGTGTTGCTGAGGATGCCGCCTTGTAACTTTCTGAAGCAAAGCTACGAGTGAAAGCGCAATCTCGCCCTGATCGGGGCCCGACGGCGCAATCGGGGCCCGACGGTGCAATCGGGGCCCGATCGGGGCCCGACGGTGCAATCGGGGGCCGATCGTCCCGTGGTGCAACCCCAGCCACCCATATTATAGCTCAACGCCGGTTTTCCTTAGCATGCGGATTACAACTTGTGATTTCGGTTTTGCTTAGTGTTCCGCCAAATCTCGATCCGATGGCTTTTCAGACAGCGGGCGCACGACACACTGCTTCCCTCCAGGGCAAACCACGGAACCTTGCACAACATTTCTGGAACCCTGGTGGAACATTGTGGAGCCTTGTGGAACGCGTGTGGAGTCGTTGCAGAACTTTGTGGAACCCTGTGAAGTCTCAGGGCCCACAGCCCTCGCAGAATCTCGTGGAACCCTGAAAACCTCAGAGAAGGAACCCTGCTAGAACCGTGCTGGAACCTTCATCCCTGGTGGGACCCTCGTGAAACCTTCCTCGAACCTTCAGCTCCAAGCGACTTCCCTTCCAGAAGCTCCGGAGGGGTGATGGGCACAGCAGTTCCACCTGGAGTGATGGCCGCCGGGGTGGACGGGATCTTGTTCCGGATCCAGTCCTCCTCCTTCTCCAGCTCAGCCAGCTCCTTTGAAGCCTCCTGCGACTGAAAGGCCTCCTTGGACTTTGGCAAGTACTTCTTCTTCTCAACCGCTTGGCCCTTTTCAATGCAGTCATACTCCACGAGTGAAGTCGTAGACGACGAAGTCTCCACCTTGCGCTCCGTCTTCTCCACCTTGATCACTGTCTTCCTCACAGGCTTCGGCATGGGAAGGCTCTTCTTCTTTGTGTTGCCCTCTCCCGCAGGTGCCGAAGAGCTTGCCGTTGTGGGACGCTTCATCAGGGCTCCTAGCCTAGACCTATCCCACAAGAGCCTACTCCTAGAGACCAGACACTCCCTTCAACTCTCAAGGCCCACCGACCTTCTCTTCACTTCGATCCAGCATGACGTGTATGCTCGTGTGTGGACCAAAGCGCAAACCAGCCCCAAAGAACCGGACCGGGGAAGGGGAGGAAGTCAGACCTTTTTAACTCCCTTCTCTTCGCACTCTGACGAGCACCGTGTAGAGGTCGAAGCCGAGCTTGCCTGCAAGTCCCTCCAGGAAGTCACCATGTGTCCAAACCTGCAGACAAGTCAACCATGCAACATCAAAACTCTGCCCAAAATCGCACCGCACAAAACGCGTCTGCTGTTTGACGACGCGAGGGCATCATCACCAGTATTTGGCTTTAAAGGTCCAACTGACCTGCATCTTTCACACCCCCGCATGACCGAGCTTAGTCAATCACGCGTGGTGCAATCACCTAGTGGGTGACAACCCCCAAGAGGCAGTCCCTGCACAGCTGCAGAGTGGTGACCTTCTTGTTCTTGATATGGCCACATCCCAAACGATGCAACCTCCGGCCAGAAGTTGAATAGCAAAGGCGGTCAGCTCCTTCATCGACTTCTCGACGCCACCTCAGCTCCACTTCATTCTCCAACTCGCGCTTCTTTCCAAACCACTTCTGTTTGAGCAAAAGAAGATTCCTCCTTCTCCTTGCCCTTCACCAGTTTGGAAGTCGCCACTCCAGTCAGCCACGCAAGAATCCCTCCTGAGACCAAGCCGCAAAGGTAGACACAGACCACAAAAAACAAGAACTCCAAAAAAATGCTGGAACCCTTGTGGAACCCTTGTGGAACCTTACACCCCGGACCCTCGTGGAACCTTACCTAACCACCCGGACCACCCCGCAGCCTGGAACCCTGGTGGAACCCTGGTGGAGAACCCTGGTGGAACTCTGGTGGATCCTTTGTGGAACTGCTGTGGAACCTTCCTCAAACCAGCCCGGACCACCCGCAGCCCTCGAAGAAATTGGTGGAACCCTGGTGGAACCCTTGTGGAACCTTACCTCAAACCAGACCACCCCGCAGCCCTTGCAGAATGTGATGGAACCCTGGTGGAAACCTCGCAGATGGTGGAACCCTGGTGGAAGCCTGGTGGAAGCCTGGTGGAAGCCTGGTGGAAGCCTGGTGGAACCCTGGTGGAACCCTGGTGGAACCTTAGCTCAGGGTCGCCCCGAACCACCCCGGAGCCTATCTGGGCTGAGACCCCAAAGCTTTCAGCTGTTGGGGAAAAAACAAAAAACAACAAGCAGAAGGGCTACCCCCCCTAACTCGCATTGAGCGCATCAGAAGATACCCTTTTGGAAAAGAATGGCGCAGGACTCAGTGAGCTCCCATGGCAATTCCACGGCAATGGAAGGCAAACTCAAAGGATACAACTTAAACAACTGGAAGGCAGTGGAAGGGTAAGCTAAAGGCCACCAAACTTTACCAAAAAAGAAAGAGAAAGCTACAACAAAAACAACTAAAAAACCGGAGAAAAAAAAGAGACCCACCCAAAGGACCGTTGACTCAAGTTTCCGATTTCCCCAGGTCATCAGGGCGCCGGCGGCTGCCCTGCAAGGGTCGGGCATCGCCTGAGTCCGACCACGAAACCCGGTACGAACTCTGTCTCTGTCGTTCCCCGATTTTTTGAGCTTGGTGTAAAGGGAAACCAAAGAAAACCAAACCGTGGCGCCAAATTTGGGGGGAGGCCCCCAAATTTTGAAAGAAAAACAAACCGAGTTGTGCGCCCCGCAAAACGCGCCCCTCGCCCCTCGCACCGCTTCGATCGAGGCATTCACTGCACTGCGGCGCCGGAAGGCGATGGCCATGCAGCCGCTGGCGGTGAGTCGGGCTCGGGCCGAGTGCATCTTGTGAGCGTCAAATCTCTACCTAGACGCTCCATGACCCTTAAAAAATGGGGTCAGTACCCAAAATAATGGGGTCATGGACCCATTTTTAAATGGTCATGGAGACTCCAGGTAGAGATTCATGGGGGCTGTGGGGGCAGGGAGAGGGGTTGAGGGCGCTTAATAAGGCCTTATTTGGGCTCCCCCCCCCCACCCAGCCCCCATGAGGGCTTTGGATCGTTTTGAAAACATTCTGCTATTAAGGTGCAGGTGCTCTGCAGCAGTCAAGAGGTAGAAATGAGGCTCTGGATGCTTGAATCTCTACGCAGGGCGTTGGTTCTGTACCGAAAACATTCTACTATTCATGTTGACCCCGGATGAATACACCTGTCCTAAAAATAGAGAGGTAAAACCGCAATTACCCCTCCAATAGTGATGATTCCCCACAACATTCCCTTTATTGAGGACGGGCAATAACTCTGACCATCTTCCCAAGAGAGGCGTGGGTCACAAAGTTGCTGGCGCTCAGCAGGAAATGAGACATGGAATGACCCCAAGATAAGCTATTTAACTGGTGGTGTCCTTTCTTCGGGGACCCGTACCGGACTAAAGCCTGGCTTCATTCCACTTCACATTCGATTTCGCATCGGTCGGAAGTGGCCATGGGCCAAAATCCCGTACCCCCAGTGAACATCCCAATCCCCACTAAATAAGCTCAGGTGATATCCCCAACAGCATGCGGTGCTCTTTTTAGTGCTCGCACCACCCCGCAGCCCTCGTCGAACCTCGTGGAACCCTGGTGGAACCCTGGTGGAACCCTGGTGGGACGTTGATGGAACCCTGGTGGAACCTTGGTGGAACCTTACCTCAGGGCCGCCCCGAACCACCCCGGAGCCTATCTGGGCTGAGACCCCAAAGCTTTCAGCTGTTGGGGAAAAATATTAAAATGGGTGGTGCACCTACCCCAAGATGGTTCCATTGGTTTTGACCCGCGGCCAAGTCAAAAAGAGAATCCGCCAACGCGACCCAAAAACCTCGACGGCCATGTCCAGCTCTGCACAGGCAACGACCTTGGAAGAGAAGTGGTCGAGCGAAAGATGTGCGCAAAAACAGCCCGGGGTGTCAATGTCTTCCCAAGAAGTCCACAACCCCGTTTCACCCACCTGCAAAAGGACAACCAAAATTGTGAGGCAGGGTTTTTCCGCCAACCCCAGTCTCATCAGGTCTTTGGAAGGTTTGGGCTTGGTTGGAGTTGGTACCCATTGTGGGGCTGCATGGAATTTCTTGGGCCGTCTTCTTTGTTTCCTTGTTGTCTTGGGGAGGGTTAGTTACCCTATTTGGGGTTGAAGGGACACAGAGATAGCCCCATAAGCAAAGCGGGTCTCCTCTCCTTGAAATGGTCGCATTGTAAGGATTTCTCAAGATTACTGTTTGGACTCGGACATGGACCCTCTGGCGGACATCATTTGCAGAGGGGAAGTGTATTCCGACCCATTGTGTGGGTTCTCCCCCAATCAACACAGCCAGGTTGGGCACCCGTTGCAGGCAAGAAGGCAAGCATGGCCCGAGGGTCCCTGCAGATTCACAGCTCCAACTGGCTAATCTAATCTGGGCTGCCCTCAGATCCCCCGCTAAAAGTTTAACTCTTAGTGGGTTAAATGGAAACTACCACTAAAAAAACTAAAAGGATCTAAAAAGCTCAGGAACCGGATGGCTGGCAGCCACCAAGTACAGTTGGTCTCGCCTTGAACCCACCAAAAAAGTGAGCTTCCAGGGTGTCCTTCTTTGCCAAACATCACAAACAAGACAAAAGCCACCTACCCGGCCTCCTCTGCAGCCACGGCTTTGCAGAATTGCACCTGATGAAGGGGAAGACCAGGCGGCCGAACTTGGGGCCGAAGAAAAAACGTTTACCCAACTGGACGCAAATACATTTGACTGGTCTGTGCGCCCCCTCCAATGTCCTCAACTGTCGCTCAGCACCAAGTCCGGGCTAGCATTGTAGCATAGGTATTGCCGAAAGCACGAACAAAACTATGGTACAAGTAGGGCATCCACAGCATATGGCTGTGGGTCAAAAATAGGTACCAAAATGGGCTTCCCCGGTAAATGAAACCAAGGACTAAAACCTGCGGTTCCCCTGGTGGTTTAATTTTGACCCATACCCATATGAGGGAACCACATGACTCATATCTTGCATGTTGCTGTGCATGTCACCTGACCTGGATTGAACACCCAATAGTAGAGCGAGCCTTGATAGAGCTCTCGCTGAAAAGCGGACACCAGGGTTGAAGCGCTGTTCTCACAAACACTCCTCTAAGACCCTCATGCAAGAAGATTGAAGAACGAGATTGCCCACATTCAAAGTTTCATCCATGCAAACATGTTTGACAGGTTTGATTTCTGTAAAGAACCTCCTGTTACCCTCCCACCAATTAACATAGAACCTGAGGTTCGGGGGTCCTGGCTTGGACCCTTTTCCTTCCATGTGAATTGGTGGGAGCAAGGCACCCACCCCCCCAGCCAGCCAGGTGCGCCCTAGCCGCCCGGCCAGCCACCCGCCTCGTGCAGTATCACCCGCAGCTCGGCGCGGAAGGGTTCCTGCAGCCCGGGCCAAAGCTGCGGAGCCGGAAACTCCTCGCGCTGAGCCGAGCGCGATTTGGCGCGCGGCAAGGCGTGGTGTTTGGGCGCGAGCGAGCGACCCGCTTGGAGTTGAGCCGCTGAAATTTGTTGGGAGGAATGTGCCTCAAAGGGGAGACGCCCGAGGTTCGGGGCTTTATGAACAGAGTATCGAGCTCTAAAAGATGCTCCCCACAGCGAAGACATGGGCCAAATCGCCGAAAGGTCAGCTTAATTATGCTCTCAAATTGACGCGTCCTGTGACCAATTTCCCCCGCAAAAGCCCAACCCCCCCCCCCCCGGACCGCCAAGCGTGATCAGCTACTTGGCTGGGACGTGGAAAACAAACGATGCAACCTTTCGCAATGTTTGTTTCGAACTTTGGTCCGCTGCTCTTCGTACGGCTCAAAAACATGACCAGGCGGTGCTCTTCAGCGTCTCTGCTTCACAGTTCGAAGACCTGGACAAGGAAAACAGAAGGACCATAGATGTCCGTTTTGGATGGCCCTGGTAGATGACTGAACCACCGGGTAAACCAGAACTCGCCCTCCCAGGTTCAACCAGACCAACCAAAAAGGACGCCTATGAGAAGTACTTAGAGACCCTTTTTGAAGGGTGTTTTGATGCCAGTCACGTAGGACACAACCACTTCATATGCATAAACTCGATCCAACGAATCAGTGGTGGCTCCACTTTCTTTGCTAGGGGAATAGCTGCATGTTGGCAAGCAAGCCCTTTGAGTATTTGGACATCCGGCCGCGAAGCGAACATTCATGCTAGGCCCAGTTCCCCCCAAAAGAGATCTCAGATTCAGAAATATGCTACGAAGGTGTTCATTCGGAGGTCGGCATTAGGCGAAGTTTGGAATGCAATATTGTTCATGTTCCTTGCGTCTCAAGAAGCTAGAGGCCCTTTGTTCGGCACCTTCGAGGGGGGAACGTTCCAAAATTGACGAAATTCTAGGCTGCCCAAGTGATGTCGGCATTAGAATGGGTTTTCCCACCTGTGCAATCTGGCTTGGACTCTTCCACAGATTGTGCACCTTGCGGCTGAAGGGCCAAACAAGGCAATGGAAGGCGGATCCTGCATGGGAACCACTCGCAGCCAAAGGTACAGCGACCCGACCTCACATCACATGCTGCAAGCCAACATGCGGAGGGCGGCCCGGCAGAACATGGTCTAAAGCTTCGTATTGTAGGCTTGATTGTAAGCCCAATCAAACCAGAAATTCGGCCACCTCAAAACCATCTTGACTGCCTATCGGCAGTTTCGTGCCTGAGTCATGGTCCCATCCGCCTCCGGTCAGAGCTACTTGTAGGTCCCACATGCGTCATACACAAGCAAAGTCGTAATGCCAGAGCCATGCTTCAAGAATTATGAAGGTTGAAATTGTCCCTTACTACCTTCATCTAGATTGTGGAGCAAATAAATTTGGGCACGCGTGCAGACAAGGTGGGGTTTACGCGCGCACCCACTTCGCCTTACACAAGACACCTGCGGAGCCTCACACTTTTTGTTTACGCGTAGGTGCACGTTTCTCAAAAAAACGGAGAACTGATGAGAACTGTCTAGTTAGTAATATTCAAACCGCAAAAAAGGAATACCGACCATGTTTGGGGGACTACTAACGACTTTGAGACGCCAAACTGGATTTTGAACTGCTCAGCCTTTCAGCTGTTTCGGCGTCCCCGGCTGAGTGTGGCTGATCCGGAGACCAGAGCTGCCGCAGCTCGCAGGTGCTTTCCTTCCGTCTCAAGTTGCTGTCCGAAGGCCTAGAAAACTTGGTTGCGTTGACCCCCCTGAAAAAAACATGTATACCTTTTTGGGGGGTCTAGTGGAAAACTCCTTGATTTCCCAAAATTAAAGTCTTAAGATATTTAAAACCTGGGCCTCAGCGTGTTCACCGTCGGCGCAATAAGCTCAGGTGATATCCCTAACAGCATGCGGTGCTCGTTTTAGTGCTCGCACCACCTCGCAACCTTGGCAGAACCTCGTGGAACCCTCGTGGAACCCTGGTGGAACCCTGGTGAAACCCCGGTGGAACCCTGGTGGAACCCTGGTGGAACCCTCGTAGAACCTTACCTCAGGGTCGCCCCGGACCACCCCGGGGGCTGAGACCCCAAAGCTTTCAGCTGTTGGGGAAAAAGTGTTCATTGTTGGCGCAGAAGCGTGCCCACCGTCGGCGCGCAAGAGTGTTCCTGACTGTTCGCGCACACAAGTGTTCCTTGTTGGCGCAGAAGCGTGTCCACTGTCGGCGCACAAAAGTGCCCGTTGTCGGCGCACAAGTCTCTATCGTAGCCAGTGTCAGCGCACAAAGTGCTCGCTATTGTCGCACAAGTGTGTTGACCGTCGCAGCGCAAGAGAGAGATAGAGAGAGAAACGCAAGGGTGGCTTGCGACTGTTCTGTGTGCGCGTCTCTTGTTTGTCTCTCTGTGTGCCTGGAGTGTGTGTGTGTGTGTGCGTGTGTGTCTCGGCCTTGCTCCGAAGAATATGTTTCAAATGGGGGTCAAATGCGCTGTGGTAGATGCAAGGAACAAGTCGTTTCAAATCTTATGCCGGGAGGATCGCAACACCATAAGTAGTCAGTGTCAAGGAATCGGAAAGCCAGGCTGATATCTTGCACAAGTCAATCTGAATGCCCTTGCCAAATTTATAGAGCTGGGGTGATTCGAAGAGAGTACTCCAATGGGCAAAGCCACCAAATCAAGCCCGGCGTCTGTTTGGAAATCCGTACAACTAATCCCCGAAAAGAGTTCGCCCTCAAGAAGAAGACCTCCAGTTGATGAATTTCTCCCTCAACCATCCTTAAAATGAGGAACCCCTTCTTTTCTTCTTCTTGTATGGGCATGGGCTCAAATCCCGTACCCCCAGTGAACATCCCAATCCCCACTGGAATAGACTAACATGGGTGGTGCACCTACCCCAAAATGGTACCATTGGTTCTGACCCACAGCCGTATTCCTTTCTTTCCCAACAGCTGAAAGCTAAAAAGGCTCAGGCGAGTTCCGCGAGGGTTCTGCGCGAGGGTGAAAGGGGCTGCACGGGGCGGGTCCCACGAGGGTTCCACAAGGGCTCCGAGAGGGTTCATGGGATGCATAGGAGGGTTCCGCAAGGCAGCTCTGAGGTAAGGTTCCAGGTTCCGCCAGGTTTGTTGGAACGCGCGGGCGCATCCAATCCGTACGCTGAGTAGGACCTTCCGCATCTGCAGAACCCATACGGGTGAGGTACTGTTGGGGATGTCACCTGAGCTCATTTATGTGTTGTTTTGGCTTTTGGGGGCGGGGGCAGAATGGAGTTGCCCGTTGCCTGCCTTCTCCCTCAACGAGCAGAGCCGGCGATCCTGCACAACGGATTTAAGACCTATGGCAAAGAGGTAAAGAGTAAAGGCTGGGCCCAATTTCCGGCAAGGGAAATGCCAGTTCATGTCAAAGGGCATTTTGCAGTCATGAACCACTAGGATAGCAGGAGAGTGAGGGTCAAGCAATGCGGTTGTCTTGAATGTTTAGTGATACCCTGGTGTTAGCGTTTGGCATTTGACCATAGACAAACATTCGGGACATTCTTTGTTGAACATCAGGAGTTTGCCTATCCCTGAAAGTGGCTCACCCAAACCTCTCGCGCCAGCAAAAGCTAGTCAACAAGAATCGGCAGTTCCATGTCGCACTCAGGACTTCAGACTGGTGCCACACCCAGCTCCGCCCAGTTCGGTCCCAAATACCTCGTGACGTCGTCCCATATGGCCATAGGTCAAAATCCGAATCGTACCCCCAGTGAACATCCGATTCAATCCAACCACTAAAATAGGAACTCTAAAATGGGTGAATTCACCGAAAACCCCCCAAAATGTGATCCCATTGGCTTTGACAAAACCACAGCCATTGGATCCGGTTCGCCTGGAGGTCCACCAGAGTGGAGCCCAGCACCTGTGAGCTTTTAATTGGGCCCTTTCGTAAACCACCCTTTTGAGGAAAATAACAACAGCACGCCGACATAAGATAGATTTGAGCATGTCTTCCCAGCTTCCCATTCGGAACTCGGATAACTGGTTGATTTTCATCGGAGTCTTCTCCCCTAAAAGGCTCGATCCTCACTTTCGGAAGGCTTTTTCCCCCAGCCACATACTTCAACGGGTCTGCTGCCTTTCTTGGGATGGGATGGCCATTGGAAAACCACAGAAAAGACTTGATATTTCGACCTGGGGAGCAAAAGTTGGCCATGCTCATTTGGGACTGAAGGGAATATTGATGAACCCCCACATGGGAGAAGTCAAGGAAAAAACACCTGTTACCTCTGTTGGTTGGCTGAAACAAAGACCCAGGAAGACAGGGTGCCGCTGGGTGACTTGCGTGGGACATAGTTCTATACGTCTACCAACCCCTCAAAATGAGGATCCCGATCAAAATTCATGGCGCCATAGTTCCCAATGTTTTGCGGGATGCTCGAAAATCACTGGAGCAGGGCTCAGAGACATCCCATGGCGGGTCCAGGCTTGGCCAACATCTCGCGGGTATAAAAAAGCCAATCAATGTCTGCGGGGTATGGCGAGTGGATGATCTACTTCGATGGTCTGGGAGGAACATCGCGAAATGTCGAACCCACAAAGGTTGCAAGCCCTGTACCCAGACCAATGCTTTTGAGAGGGTACGCTGCGGGCCCTTGTGTTTTCCATATGACATGGTTGTTTTTGCAGACGTCAATCAGGTGACTTCAAGGCAAAACCAACTGACTCAACACCAAAAACCCAGGGCCCAGGACGTACTCTTCTCTCAGTTGTTCAGTGACCCTGGAAAAAAAAGAATCGGACCCCTTTTTGGGGCTTGGACCACTTTTAGTGGGGCCACCAAAAAAAAGTTGGAAAACAGAGGCTCGGTGCCACTGAACAACTGAGGGACTCTCCCATGAGAACCCCGAAACTTGCAACGGAACACTCGCTTCCATTCGGATCGGCCAATTCAACTGGGAGGAGCTTCCACGTGAGGGAGAGAAATCCCCGGGAGTTCAGGGCGTACTCTTCTCTCAGTTGTTCAGTGACCCTGGAAAAAAAAGTTGGAAAAAAGAAAAAGGGTGCCACTGAACAACTGAGTTCAGCGAGTTGTCCCTCTCTCCCAGCCCCGCCGCATCGAGGCTCGAAGGCCCGACGGCCCGAGGCCGCGGCGCTCTGGCCGCGCTTCAGCCGAAGCTCGAGGCCTCGGGTTGTTTGCGTCCGGAAAAAAAAAGCGCCGGAGTGGCCAACCTTTAGCAGGGTTCCGGATGCATTGTACACCTGAACATTGCCTTGTCAATGCTGGTGTCCCCCTATTTTTGGTAGGAAAAAGCCATGTTTCAAATGGGCAACATGTATCTTGGGGGCACCTTTAGGGAGCCAGGACCTGGACCAGAACCTGCGGACCAATTCCCGGTGCTTTCATTTTGACCCATACCCAGGTACAGGAAGCCAGCCTTGAGGGATTTGGGGGGGCGCATGACAAAAAAAGTAGCCGGCCACCTGGAAGAAGGGAGACCGAAGAGGGAGAACATCGGTATGGGTAACGACAATCCATGGGTATGGGTAACATGGGTATGGGTGAGGGTATGGGTATGGGTATGGGTATGGCGACAGCTAGTTTCTTGGGATCCAAAAGCAGCCCCAGAGATGCTGCGGCATGGGCATGCCCCAAACCGCTGGGCGTAGCCTACAATAGGTCAAACACGACAAATGCTGGGTGTCCTTTGGCTTCCCTCAAAACAAAAACAAAAGGGCACCCAAAAAGACAGACCCTGGCGTCAAAACTGATCGCCTTTCCGTTTCCAACACAGCTAACTGGGAGGCACCCGCAAAACTCGTGAAAAAGGCCTACAACTGCGCAGGCTGAGTGTTGCAATGGAAGGATTCCCTCTAACCAGCTTAACCCCAAACGAGAGAAAAACGAACCAAGTCTCAATTGGACCCAAACAAAATGCGATACGTCAAACGAAAACCACCCTTTTGAGGAATAAAATAACAACAGCACGCCGCTTGTTGAATCAGGACATAAAATAGATCTGAGCATGTCTCAAACTAGACTAGACCATTCCCAGCTTCCCATTCGGAACTCGGATAACTGGTTGAT